ACTTGCTGCTGAAATGGAACACTCAGGATGAAACGGTAAAATCGGCTATGATTAAATGGGCACAAGACGTTGGACACAACATTATGTTCGCTGACTGGGAACAGTTATGGACCACAGGTATGAAATTTACGGCATGTAATGCCCTAAGAGAGAATATTATGAAAATGATATACAGGTGGTACATAACCCCAGTCAAGCTTGCAAAAATTTATCACTTGCCCGATAATAAATGTTGGAAATGTAAAGAAACTGAAGGTACATTTTTTCACCTTTGGTGGACGTGCCCAAAGATTAAGGCTTTCTGGGAAATGATATATAATGAGTTAAAAAAGGTATTTAAATATACCTTTCTGAAGAAACCAGAGGCCTTTCTCCTGGGCATGGTTGGCCAATTGGTGCCAAAAAAGGATAGAACTTTCTTTATGTATGCAACAACAGCAGCAAGAATACTCATCGCAAAGTATTGGAAGACACAAGAACTTCCCACGCTGGAGGAATGGCAGATGAAAATGATGGACTATATGGAATTGGCGGAAATGACTGGCAGAATCCGTGACCAGGGAGAAGAGTCGGTGGAGGAAGATTGGAAGAAATTCAAAGACTATCTGCAGAAACATTGCAAAATTAAGGAATGCTAGAGTGATGTTGGATTGAAAATAAGTGGCTTCCAGCTGTACAGGATTTAAAGTTATATATAGATTAAGATTAAGGATTAGGATTAAAAAAGTTTAAGGAAATGGAAACTTGGTTTTTAAGAGGTAAAATTTTAATGATATATTATATCAAGATTAAAGATTGGGATTAAAAAAGAGGGAAAGAAATTGCTGGACAAACAATTTGAACTGGAATACAAAAGAGGGAGGTATGAGGAGGTCCAGAAAATAAGTAAATTTAAAAATGGAGATGAAAAGGAGGTATTGTTTTTAACTGTTTTCTTTTTTGTCTTTTTTTGTGCTTTTTTTTCTTTTTCCTTTTTGGATTATGTATTGTGTATTTTTGAACTGTGTATTTCTTTTTTATGTTTTTATGTTTAATTTTTTTACTGTGCTCTTTTTATTGGAAATCTTAATAAATATCATTAAAAAAAAAAAAAAGAAATATGGTCAAATTTGAAGTTATCATTGTTAGGCCGAATCGCTGTGATAAAAATGAATGTGCTGCCTAGGATGTTGTTTTTGTTTCAAACATTACAAATTTTGGACAAGATGGATTGTTTCAAAAAGTGGCAGAAAGATATTTCCAGATTTGTTTGGCAGGGCAAGAAGCCTCGAATAAAATTTAAGATATTAACTGATGCTAAAGAAAGAGGTGGATTTGCCCTGCCAGACCTCAAACTTTATTATGAATCAGCAGCTTTTTGCTGGCTGAGAGAATGGCTGCTTCTTGAAAACACTGACGTGTTGGATTTAGAAGGTTTCAATAATGTATTTGGTTGGCATGCATATTTGTGGTACGATAAGGTAAAAGCACATAAAGCGTTTAAAAACCATATTGTCAGAAAAGCACTGTTTAATGTCTGGATAAGATATAAGGATTTGCTTGAAAACAAAACCCCAAGGTGGCTGTCACCAATGGAAGCGAAGGCTCAGAAAGAGCTCAATATGGAGGCCAATTGGCCAAAATATTGGGAAATTCTGGAACAAGAGGGAGACAGATTTAAATTGCAGAGTTTTGAAAAACTAAAAAACAGAGTGTGAGATTGGCTCCATTATTACCAAATAATGGAGGTGTACAATTTGGATAAAAAAATTGGCTTCCAGGTGGAAAAATCAAAATTGGAAACAGAATTGTTAGATTCTAAAATTAAGAATTTGTCAAAAATGTATAACTTGCTGTTGAAATGGAATACTCAGGATGAAACAGTGAAATCAACTATGATTAAATGGGCACAAGATGTAGGACATAATATTATGATGGCTGACTGGGAACAGTTATGGACCACAGGTATGAAGTTTACGGCATGTAATGCCATAAGAGAAAATATAATGAAAATGATCTACAGGTGGTACATGACACCAGTCAAGCTTGCAAAAATATATCATTTGCCCGATAATAAATGTTGGAAATGTAAAGAGACTGAAGGTACATTTTTTCACCTTTGGTGGACATGCCCAAGGATTAAGACATTCTGGGAGATGATTTATAATGAAATGAAAAAGGTATTTAAATATACCTTTCTGAAGAAACCAGGGGCCTTTCTCCTGGGCATGGTTGGCCAATTGGTGCCAAAAAAGGATAGAACTTTTTTTATGTATGCCACAACAGCAGCAAGAATACTCATCGCGAAGTATTGGAAGACACAAGATCTACCCACCCGGGAAGAATGGCAGATGAAGGTGATGGACTACATGGAACTGGCTGAAATGACTGGCAGAATCCGAGACCAGGGAGAAGAGTTGGTGGAAGAAAATTGGAAGAAATTTAAAGTTTATTTACAGAAACATTGTAAAATTAAGGAATGTTAGAAGGATGTTGGAATGAAATAATGTGGCTTTAGCAGAAATGCTATAAAGGATTAAGGAAAAATAGATTGTTAAATGGTGAAGGAGGGAAAGTAAAGTTACATTTTATTAAGATAGAATAGAGGACAAAAACCGGAAAAGATGGAAAGGATTTGCTGAAATAGTTAATTGAACTAGAATACAAAAAAGGGAAGTGTGAGGAGGTCAAGGAAAGAAGCAAATGAAAGACAAGTTATGGGAAGATGTATTGTATTTTTTTGTATTTCCCCCCCTCTTTTTTCTTTTTCTTTTTTTTGTTTTGTTTTGATATTATCGTGTTGTGATGACTTGTATCTCTTAAATATGCTGTCTTTTTTAACTTTTTCTTTTGTAACTCTTTAAAATGTAATAAATATCAATTTTAAAAAAAGAAATTTTTTTTTACTTGTTCCTACTTTTTCCTCTCTTGTTTTTCCCCAATTTCATATTTCCGATCTTAACCCATTGTCTTATCACCCCAGTCACTGGTATCAACTTTCAATTGTGTTTAACAAATCCATATTCTCTAGTTGGCCTCTTTTCTCTTACTGATAGAGAACCTACATAAGGACTCTATACATGCTCTTAGGTACCCCATAAGGGATAAAGGAGAAGTTTTTTTTCTTATAACAGGTAGGTAGCCGTGTTGGTCTGCCATAGTCAAAAGAAAATTAAAAAATTCCTTCCAGTAGTACCTTAGAGACCAGCTAACTTAGTTATTAGTATGAGCTTTCATGTGCGTTTATCTGAAGAAGTGTGCATGAACACGAAAGCTCATACCAATAACAAACTTAGCTGGTTTCTAAGGTGCTACTGGAAGGAATTTTTTAATTTTGTTTCTTATAACAGTTGGCTTTGGCATTTTGGCCTGGAGAGTCAGAAATCACATCACACACCAGGTTCCTTTGGCTCAGGCAGGCCAAGGGGTGATATTCCTGAGGATTAAGCAAGTTTCACCTAGTTCCAGCCACAGTTTACACAAAACATTTGCAATGGGCAAACCACAACCATTAAGGCTGAGGAGGTCCCTCGATCTAGGAGAGGAATCCCTTCAGGAACTTTCCCTGGCTGGCTTTCATTCGGAGAGCCAAGATGGCTTTTGGATTTCTCTGCTGCACTGCTCTAGACATGTGGTTTATATACTTATGTATGTGTGTTTGCCTTGTGCAATTATCAATGCGGGTGGCGCTGTGGATTAAACCACAGAGTCTAGGGCTTGCTGATCGGAAGGTCGGCGGTTTGAATCCCCGTGACGGGGTGAGCTCCCGTTGCTCAGTCCCTGCTCCTGCCAACCTAGCAGTTCAAAAGCACGTCAAAGTGCAAGTAGATAAATAGGTACCGCTCCGGCGGGAAGGTAAACGCTGTTTCCGTGTGCTGCTCTGGTTCGCCAGAAGTGGCTTAGTCATGCTGGCCACATGACCCAGAAGCTGTATGCTGGCTCCCTCGGCCAGTAAAGCGAGATGAGCGCCGCAACCCCAGAGTCAGCTACGACTGGCCTAACGGTCAGGGGTCCCTTTACCTTTACCTATTCTATATTTGAGACCCTTGAATTTCTACACAGAGGATGAGCATGCTAAACACCAACTTTCTGACTGTTTGAGAGAGAATTACTGAATTTAGGACCGAAGCCTTATTAGGAGTCGGGTCGGGATAAGCCTGGAGAAAAGGAGACTGAGAGGCAGGACGAGAGCCAGTGTCTTCAACCACCTCAAGGACTGCCCCTTGGAAGGTTTGCTGCTGCCCCAGAAGGCAGGACCTGAATCCAGGGCTTCAAGTTACAAAAAGGGCGATTCCGACCCAACATCAAGAATAGGCTTCTGACAGTGATTGCTGTTTGACAGCGGAACGGATGACCTTGGGAGATGAAGGACTCTCCTTCCTTGGAAGCTTTTAAGCAGACGTTGGATGACCATCTCTCAGGGATTCTGTCGCTGAGATTCCTGCCTTGCAGGGGGTTGGACTAGATGACCCTTGGGGTCCCTTCCAACCCAACAACTCAATGACATTCATCTTAATGCCCGTGAAGTCTTCCCTCTCCTCCCCAAACCCCCCAAATCTTGTCCTGCCCTCCATATACACACAGATGCACCAACTCTGCGGCACATTTTTGCAAGTAGCAGAACCCCAAATAAATGGCTAGCAACGATCATAAAAGAAAAAAACCCCCCACTTTATTCTCTTTTGCAAAGCAAAAATACAGAGTTGTCTTTGTTTTCCACATGGCGGACGATGTTCCTTCATGTGTCCCTTCCGCTGGAGCAGCCTGGATCCCTGTGGAAGAGGCTGAGATCTCTTGCGTGGGCACAGGGATCAAGCCCTAGATTTCCCCACTCAGGCAGAGCCAACAGCAAAATGCCCCCCTGGCAAACCTCCTTGAGCTGGATGAGCAAAGGCAGGCTCTGTGCGCACCGTCAGAGGGGCTTCCTAGGAGCACGATCTCCCGTGGGTTTCCATCAGTCTCTCTGCACACAAAAAGTCCCTTTTGGCAAGTCCTCCTGGGCCAGCCTGCAGCCTCCCCAGCTAGTTCTCTCCCGCCTCATCATAGACAGGGTTGACATAAGCGCCACTCTTGGGCTGTTCTGCAAAGTCCTTCTGGCTGGTGGGCGGCCACTTTGCGTCCTCCTCCAGCTGCCACTGCAGCTTCCAGTACTGGCTGGAGGAGCGGAAGCGGAAGAGGGCCTTGATCAGAAGCCAGAGGCGGTGGTTCTGCAGGATGCCGTCCTATAAATGATAATGATAATGATAAATAATAATAATTTATTTATACCCCACCCATCTGGCGGAGTTTCCCCAGCCACACTGGGCGGCTTCCAATCGAGTGTTAAAAACAATACAGCATTAAATATTAAAAACTTCCCTGAGCAGGGCTGCCTTCAGATGTCTTTTAAAGATAAGATAGCTACTTATTTCCTTCACATCTGAAGGGAGGGCGTTCCACAGGGCGGGCGCCACTACCGAGAAGAACATGGGAGCATGAGAAAGGGGCCCATCCATTCTTAAAAAAACCAGAAGCATTTTTACTTGGTATTATATGCCAAGGTATTAATAGACAAGATGTCAAACTGTTCTTATATGCAACAACAGCGGCAAGAGTATTGTTAGCCCAGAAATGGAAGCAAGAAGACGAAAGAAGAATGGCAGACGAAATTAATGGACTACGCAGAATTGGACAACATGACAGGAAGGATTTGAAACTTGCCGGACCAGAGATTTACAGAAGATTGGAAGAAGTATATGAATTATTTGAAGAGAACTGTAATCAACAAATTACGCTAGTAGGACTACAAGAAGTTTTGTAAGGAGAAATATACAAAGTGTTACAAAGTAGAAAAAGATAGAGATATTGGTTATGAGTTTGAAATGTAATAGGGAAAATAAGAAATTCATACTAGAGATTAGATTGGAAAATTTTCAGGCAGGACTGATGGAAGTCAAAAAAATTGAAAAAGATGTAAAAGTATGTTTAATTACTGTTGAAAATGACATGTTAAAAAACTAATAAAAATTTATATATATAAAAGAGAAAGGGGCCCATCCAGTCTAGCATCCTGTTCTCACCGTGGCTGACCAAATGCCCCTGAGCGAAACCCACAAGCAGGATCCGAGCGCAAGAGCATCTTTCAAGCCTCCTGGCCTTCCAAAGCAGAGCTGCCTCTGATCCCAAAAGCATCTGGAGGCATTGAGGCTGCAGCGTTTTATGGGGGGAAAGTTGCCGCTTTGGGAATTCAGTGGCTAGTTTAATCACTGGGGCAAGATGGTTTAAGGCTATTGCACCGATCCTGGCCCGACTGCACCGGCTGCCACTTAGTTTCCGGGCATCATTCAAAGCGCCGCTTTTGACCTCTAAAGCCTTAAATGGCTCAGGACCACAATATTCCCCACGTGAAGTGACCTGGATCCTAAGATCATCTTCTGTGGCCCGTTGTCGTGTGCCTGCTCCGCAAGAGGGGTGGCCCCATGAGAACAGGGCCTTTTCTGTGGTGGCTCCCCACTTGTGGAATGCTCTCCCCAGGGAAGTTCACCTGGCACCTCCATTACACATGTTTAGGCACCAGGTGAAAAGGGTCCTCTTCAACCAGGCGTTGGGATGAAGAACATGCTATGCCCTTTAAAATGTGTTTGGGGTAGGGGGCTGTCAGGGAACTGACATCAGAGTGGGAGGCGAAGGGGAGGCTCCTAGATGATGCTGGAGAAGGACCCAGCAGCAGGGGGAGAAGCAGCTCAGTGGAGGGGGAAGCATTTAAGCGCAACACCAGGAACAAAAGTGGGCAGATGGGGAAATCGGAGAGAGGGCTCACGGACTCTTCACTGGAACTCAGTGAGGAGGGGACAGGTCCTCCGCTACCTACGCCCACCCTGCGCAGAAGGCTCCCGCGCAGTGAGAGGCGGAGGAGACTGGGTGTCAAACAACTCTTATGTTGGAAGAGATTCAAGAAACGCCCACTGACGGATTCTGCTAGTGACTGAGACAGTCATGATGAGAAAGGGCTGTGCAGTCAGAAAGGTTTAACAAGGCAAATTAGCCTAGAGAGGCACCAGTTTACGCACGAGTAACTCATACTCATCACAGCAATCCGTCAGTCCCTGAAAAGTTGCTCGTGCGCAGCAGCAGGCAGGCAGCATCATGAGCAAGCCCGGAGAAGCAGGCACCCAGGGGGGAGCAGCTGGAGGGCAAACGCTGGTGGAGAGGAACCGAGAGTTGGAGCAGCATGTGGCCATTCTGACGGCGCGGCTGGACGAAAGGCGGTCTCAAGATGCACAGGTCAGACCCACCCCCATAGCAAGGAAGGTACCGGGACTGGTGCACAAGTTTGGGGGGAAGCCGCAAGAATACAGTGCGTTTCGAACGGAAATAGAGTACGCATTGGAATTGCAGCATAACGATTTTGAAGACGACGCGGCGCGGGTGGCATATGTTGTGGGTCACCTGCAGGACGGGGCCAGGGAATGGGTCAGGCCCCTTATGGCGACGCAGAATGCCGCCATGCAGGACCTGAGGAAATTCTTCCAAGCAATGGACGCAATGTTTTCCACTGATGTTCAAAAAAGTGTGACAAAGCGGGAATTGATGAACTGTAAACAGGGGAGCCAGTCAGTTAGGGACTACTGGTCGCGCTTTGCCATGATAGTTCACCGCCTCGGGTGGGAACTGGGCTCCGAACCCATACAGATGTTATTCGAGGAGGGGTTGTCCCCAACGGTTAAGGATGAACTTTCCCGCGCACCCCGCCCACAGGGGATGGATCAGCTGACCAAGGCTGTGCTTGCGATTGGCGTGCGCCAGGAAGCGCGGGCCCAGGAGAGGCGGGAAGGGAGAGAGCAACGTTGCCATGACTACCGCATTCCTGAAATACCAAGGCAGCCTTCCCCGCCAGCAGAGCCAATGGAAATAGATGGGGCACGCGCGCGGAAGTTTCAAGCACCAGCGAAGGGCGCAAGAAGGAGGGAAAGGATTGGAAAACCTCCAAGAAGTGTTACCTTTGCCAGCGGCCAGGCCATTTTGCCAGAGCCTGCCCTCAAAGAAAGGCTTGGCAAGGAATGGTGGGAACCGCAGGGGGTGAGGAGGAGGTGGTAAAGGAACAGGAACAGGGAAACGGGAACGCTTGGCTGCCAATCAAGGGGCACAACAGCCAGGCCAGCCACCAGTAAAAGTGCCCCAACCAGACCCCCAAGGCGGCAATAGCCATCGAAGTGGTGCTAGAACTCCCGAACGGGCACCCAGTCAAGGTGAAAGGGATGCTGGATTCAGGCAGCTCATGTAATTTCTTCAGCAAAGACTTTGCATTAGAGCACCAGCTCCACTTACTGCCTTTGGATTTTCCCTTGCAAGTGACCACCATTGATGGCAGGGAGCTTCTAGGAGGGGAAGTGACACACCAGACCCCACCAATGAGAATGAGGGTGTCCAGGCACTCGGAGACCATCGCCTTTCACGTCGCCTCACTAGCAGGACCCCCAATAATATTAGGGATGAGCTGGCTAGCACAACATGATCCAGTGGTGGCGTGGCATCAGAGGACAGTCACCTTTGGGTCAGCTTACTGCCTGGAACACTGTCTAGGGGGGGAAGCCCCAAGAATGACCGTGGCCAGGGTGGCTGGGATGGCGGTGGAGCGGAAAGGGAGGTGCCGCCACAATACGCAGATCTGCGGGAGGTCTTCAGCGAGAAAGAGGCAGATAGACTGCCACCCCATAGGCCCTTTGACTGCCAGATCAACTTGCTTCCGGGGGCTCAGCTGCCAGTGGGTAAGCTGTACGCCATGTCAGACAGGGAGATGAAGGAGTTGCGAGAATTTATTGACAAGAACCTGAAAAGAGGCTTCATAAGAGAATCAAAGGCAGTAGGGGGCAGTCCGGTGTTCTTTGTGGACAAAAAGGACACAAATAAACCCAGGCTCGTAGTGGACTATAGAGCTGTCAATTTGGTGTCAGAACCCGTGACCTTCCCAATGCCCAGGATTGACGACATTTTAACGCGAGTGAGGAAAGGCAAAATTTTTACCAAGCTGGACCTCAGGGGCGCATACAATTTGATCAGGATGAGGGAGGGGGACGAATGGAAGACCACAATGTTCACACCCCTAGGTGCCTTTGAGTACTTAGTTATGCCTTTTGGATTACAGTCGGGCTCCGCCTGTTTTCAAGCTTTCATGCACCACGTGTTGGGGTCTCTGCTGTACAAGAACTGCGTAGCCTTCTTGGACGACGTCTTAATTTATTCGGACAATGAGGAGCAACATGTTAGAGACGTCAGGGAAGTGTTACAACGACTGCAGAAGCACCAGTTGTGGGTCAAGCTGGAAAAATGTCAGTTTCACGCCAGAGAAGTCGAGTTTCTGGGGTACAAGTTGTCTGACAAAGGCTTAGCGATGGACCCAAGCAAGGTGCAGGCAGTGCTGGAGTGGAAGGCTCCCAAAACACGGAAGGACGTACAGAGGTTCCTAGGGTTCAGCAACTTCTACAGGAAGTTCATCAAGAACTTCGCCCACTTGACAGCGCCCATCACGGATTGTCTCAGTAGCAAAAGGAAGTTTGTGTGGACAGAAGAGGCCCAGCAATCCTTCGAAAAACTGAAGAAGGCGTTCGCATCGGAAGAGCAACTCCTGCACGTAGATCTGGAGAAACCCCTGAGGCTAGAGACCGACGCGTCCGACAGAGCCGTAGGGGCGGACCTTTGCAGCCAGGGAGGGGCAAGCAGGAATGGAAACCGTGTGCCTTTTTCTCGAGAAAACTGAGCAAGTCGGAGCAAAACTATACAGTGTATGACCGCGAACTGCTGGCAATCTACGTGGCCTTTCGTCGTTGGCGTCATCTACTGATAGGGGCGCAACAACAGATCCAGGTTTGCACAGATCACAAGAACTTGGAGTACTGGAGAACCGCACGAGTACTCAACCAGAGACAGATTCGATGGGCACAGGAGTTCTCCAAGTTTTTCTTTGAAATCCGCTACGTGCCCGGAGAGGAAAACGTAAGAGCAGACGCTCTCTCGCGTAAACCGGAGTACCTGGAAGGAGAGGGGCCGCCGGAGAAACGACACGTGATCCCCGAGGACCGATGGGTGTGTGGGGAACTTTGGTGGGGAAACGAGAACTAGCCGGGCTGACCAGAAACGACGTGTTCGCGCAAACTAAAATCCGGGAACTACGAGACGGAAGAGGGACCCAAGAAGGGTTTGAGGAGAAGGAAGGGGTACTGTACTATAGGGGAGCGCTGTACGTACCGGGGGAGACCCTGAGGGGAAAGGTACTCAAACAACTCCACGACAACCCCACAGCAGGGCACTTTGGACAGCACAAAACCATGATGCTTGTGACCAGGCAGTTCTGGTGGCCCAGGGTGAGGGAGGATGTACGGGAATATGTACGGGGGTGCGACCGCTGCCAAAGGGCAAGCGGGCTGCCCCCACAGGATTGCTGGAACCCTTACCCACGCCGGGGAAACCCTGGGAGGTGGTATCCATTGATTTTATGACAGATTTGCCCAAGTCCCGGGGAAAGACAGCAGTCATGGTAGTGGTCGACCTACTGACAAAAATGTGCCATTTTATAGCTTGCTCACATGCTGTAACGGCAGAGGAAACAGCCCGGTTGTTTGTGGAGCACATATTCCGGCTGCATGGCGCCCCCTTGAGGGTTATCTCCGACCGCGGAAAACAATTTACTTCCCGGTTCTGGAGGAAGCTCATGAGCTTACTGCAGGTGGAGGTGGGTTTCTCGACGGCGAGACACCCAGAGACCAACGGGCAAGCAGAAAGAGCGAACAGTATACTCCAGCAATACCTACGCTGCTATGTCAGCGAGAGGCAGAACGATTGGGTAGAAAAACTAGCGCTGGCTGAATTCGCGTACAACAACGCGGAACACGTGTCCACGGGAATGAGCCCATTCATGGCCAACCATGGGTGTCATCCCAGGGCCTTCCCGGGGGTGGGGAGGAAAGCTGGAGCGTACCCGCTGCAGAGCAGTTTGTGGAAGAAATGGAGGCCCTACACCAGCAACTTAAGATGAACTTGGAGCGGGCCAAGGAAACTTACAAGAGGCAGGCAGACAAGCACCGCAGGGAAGGGGAGACCATACGGGTGGGGGACCGGGTGTGGTTGTCCACCCAAGGGCTACCTTTCAAAGGGGGGTGCAAGAAGTTGCAGCCCAGACGGCTGGGACCTTTTGAGGTAACACAGCAAGTTAATCCCGTGGCATTTAAGCTCAGGTTGCCTGATAGCATGAAAATACACCCGGTTTTCCACAGGTCCCTGCTCTCACCGCATAGGGAAGGGCGGGAATTCCAGGGGCAAGAGGGAGAAGTCACCACACACCCGCAGGTAGAAGAAAGGGAACACCACCACAGGGCCACGGAAATACTGGACTCAAGGTGGCAAGGGCGCCGGGTGGAGTATTTGGTAGCGTGGGAAGGGGAACCCAGGTCCGAAAACACGTGGGTCCCCACGGAAGCCGTCGAGGACAGGTATCTGGTGGAGGTATTCCACCGCCGGTTCCCGGACAAACCCAAACCCCTGGAGAGATTCTGGGAGGAGCAATTTGGAACCACAGATGAGGAAGAGGTTTTTGAGGGATTTTCTGACTCCGAGGAGGAGGGAGGAGAGGTTTCGGAGGAAGAAGCATCAGACTGGGAAGACCACCCCGTTGGTAGGTGGAAGAGCGATTGGGAAGCGGGTTTCGAATCCACAGAAGATGGTGACAGTTCCTTCCGGGGGTTCCCCGCCTCCTCGGCCGACGAAGGGGACGAAGTTGGTCCCACAGGTCGGTCCAGGGGTGGAGGGGATTCTGGGGGGGAGGTGGATGTCAGGGAACTGACATCAGAGCGGGAGGCGAAGGGGAGGCTCCTAGATGATGCTGGAGAAGGACCCAGCAGGGGGAGAAGCAGCTCAGTGGAGGGGGAAGCATTTAAGCGCAACACCAGGAACAAAAGTGGGCAGATGGGGAAATCGGAGAGAGGGCTCACGGACTCTTCACTGGAACTCAGTGAGGAGGGGACAGGTCCTCCGCTACCTACGCCCTCCCTGCGCAGAAGGCTCCCGCGCAGTGAGAGGCGGAGGAGACTGGGTGTCAAACAACTCTTATGTTGGAAGAGATTCAAGAAACGCCCACTGACGGATTCTGCTAGTGACTGAGACAGTCATGATGAGAAAGGGCTGTGCAGTCAGAAAGGTTTAACAAGGCAAATTAGCCTAGAGAGGCACCAGTTTACGCACGAGTAACTCATACTCACCACAGGGGCTTATTGGGGTCATTATTAGGATTAGGATTTTGTGTCTTCATTTTGTATTTGTTATGTTGTAAACCGCCCTATGATTTTCAGATGAAGGGCAGTGTATCAATTTAATTCATCATCATCATCATCATCATCTGTTGGTGAGCAGGAGGAGGATGCTGAGCCCGAGGGATTGCTTTCCCGACCCTCTTTAACCCCCCAAATCCCCTCCACATCCCCTGAACCACCACCAGCAGGTTCCCACAACCCCTGGGAGTAGGTAGCACTCTGCTGGAAGGGAAAACTCTGAGCCAGTTCCTGGGGAAATGAAAAGCTGTAACTCAGAGGCTGAGCATTGGCCTTGCAAGCAGAAGCTCTCAGGTTCAATCCCCGCTGGGACCGAGAGACCCCTGCCTGAAACCGTGGACAGCTGCTGCCAGTCCGTGTAGACAGCATTGGGCTAGATGGGCCAGCAGCCAGACTTGGCGCAAGGCAGCTTCCTGAAATCACGCTCGCCTGCTCACCTCCACAAAGAACGAGACGGAGAAGGCCACCAGCAGCATCAGCAGCACATAAACCCTCCAGATGGTTGGGGTGCAGTTGACGGTGACCAGTGGCCAGAGGGTGGTGTCCTCATAGCTCAGGACGGAGTGCTCTGGGGCTGTGGCGTTGCTGGCCGTCCCGTTGCCCAGGGACACAGGGTGGTCTGCAGTAGGGCACCCCCTGGAAGGAAGACACCCCCCCATCCGGAGTTACTTCCTCTGCCTCATTGTCCTGGTCAGATGCAGGTCACAATGAAGAGGCAGAGGCAGATGCTGGCCAAGTTAACTCTTCAAGGAAATGGCAGGCAACTCAGCCTAGTGGTCTCAGCAACCCTTCCCAGCAGGTCTTGGCCCCATGGAGCAGCCAGGCTGAAGGTCCCTGCCTTCCACCTAAGGCTCCTCCTCTCCCGGATGTTTCCCAAGCCACCTCAAACTGCGCCTGAGCACCTCTGGTCTCTGTTCTGCTTCCCTCCTTATTCTGGGAGAACAGGGGAAGGGGAGCTTGTGGGAATGTTCAGGGTGGCAAGAGAGGATATATCGTTAATTAATATCCTTCCTAACTTGCGCTAGCAAGATCCTTTACTTAGCAGAGTTTACATTCCCCTTCTTACACGCATAGCAGATAGCTGGTTGCAGGCTCGTGTGAGCCTCTCACTATTATACAATGTTAGGGGATATTCGGCACAGAAACATGTGTGTATACCTTTAAGAAGTTTCTGGGATTAATTGGCTGCAGCTGGCCGTTGCTATAAAGGAAAAAAGCTGAGTTTTGTAGCCTGCCTGCAGGAATAACACCCACCAGAGTTTGTGTTTATTATTTTGTAATAAAGTCTTCGTTTTAGTTTGGGTTTTTACACCTATGTCTCTTGGAGTCACTCTGTCCTCTGCCACCAGCTGGAAATCTCCCCCTCCAACAGGTTATGGGCCCAGTCCCCAGTCCTGAGTGGGCAGAGACAGAGCGTGAAAAGAACCCAGAGACTGGAAGCGACTCAGCGTTTCTCAAGCAGCTGGCTGTGTGAAGGCGTCGGCAGGGAGTGTCTGTTTGAGACCAGGAGCCGAACATTTCTTCAAGCCACGTGTGAGTAAGGACTGAGTGGAAAGCTGAAAGCTGGATGGAGCTATGGCTGGACTTGGAGCTGGAGCTCAAGGGGGAGCTTCCTATTTTCCAGTAGAGAAACTGGGAGAGTCCAATTATATGTCATGGAGTGTACAGATGCAGGCGTTTTTAAAGAAAGAACAATGTTGGACTGTTATTGTTAACCCTCCTGTAAAAGAGGAGGATGAAGAAGTAGATGAAGCAGACCAAAGGCTGGAGGACAAAGTCTATGCCAATTTAATTTTGAGTTTAGAGAAGTCTCAGTTATCTCATGTGCGAGACCTTGAAACAGCAAGTGAGATTTGGCAAGCACTGAGAGCGATACACATTAGAGACACTGCTGGCAGCAAAATTACTCTAATGAGAGCTCTGTACCGAGCCAGACTAAGTGAGGGTGAATGTGTTTCAACACACCTTCAAAGAATGCGTGATTTATTTTCACAGTTAAATGAACTTGGGGAACATTTTTCTGAATAGAGAAAGGTTTATATTGTGCTGTCTTCACTTCCTGAGTCATGGGACAATTTAGTGATGACTTTGGAGGCAATCCCAGAAAGCCAATTAACAATGCATTTCTTAACTGGGCGTTTGCTTGATGAGGAGGAAAGATGCCATGAGAGGAAGGCCACAACCCCTCACCGTAACTCCAGAAATGGGAGGCAGTCCAGTAAAAGATATGCAACTGATGAGGAGCGGCAACCTAAAGAGGTTGTTGACCACAGAGAGGAAGCAGCTTTCACAGTCAGAAGATGCTATCGTTGTGGGTCAACTAAGCATTTAGTATGTCAGTGTGTCTGTGGGAGAAAACACAAGAAAAGGGCGGCCTGCGTTTGCTGGGAAGCGAGGAGACAGGAAGAGTCGAGTCCAGTATGTTTCTGCAGCAGTTCGAGGCACCAGTCACGACGTTGGACAAGACTGGATTTTAGACTCAGCAGCGACAAACATTTTTGTTCTGCACAAACCCTTGTAGAAAAGCAGCCTTCTAAATCTGTAAATGTAGTACTAGCTGATGGAACAGTGCATGAGTCAGCTGGAAAGGGTAGTGTGAATATCAACTGTTTAAGTACCAAATTTACCAATGTTTTATGTGTACCAAGTTTAGAAAATAATTTGCTTTCAGTTACAAGTCTTGTTAAACAGGGATTTAAAGTAACCTTCTCTGGTTCAGGCTGTAAAATAGAGAAAGCTGGAAAAGTGGTTACAGCATCACTAAAAAATGGTTTGTTTGTTTTGAAAGACCAGCTAGTAAGTGAGTCTGGGGCATGTGTTAAAGCCTGTAATAGAGCCTTGCATGATGAGTGCCAGCATCTGTGGCATCGTCGTTTGGGGCATGCCAATTTCCGCAGTATTGCAAAAATGCCAGAATTAAGTAAGGGAATTAAAATGAAAAAATGCTCAGTTTTTCTGGACTGCAATACCTGCAAGGAGTCTAAAAGTAAGCGGGGGTCCTATCCTGAAAGTACTAGAATTAGCAAGAGGCCATTTGCTTTAGTACACTCAGACCTTTGTGGGCCATTTGCAGAGTCTGAAGGAGGAGCAAAGTTTTTTTTGGTTCTTGTGGATGATTATAGCCGGTATACTTGGGTATACTAGTTAAAACACAAAAGTGAAACTGGTCAACTGATTAAGAATTGGGTCAACTATATAGAAAGGCAGTTTCCCTACAAAGTTACCCAATTGCAGAGTGACCGTGGAGGTGAGTTCATGTCTGAAGCCCTCCAGATCTGGTTGAAAAAGCGTGGTATTAGTCACCGTAAATCGTGTCCTTTTTCGCCTGAAGAAAATTCAGTTGTAGAACGCAAGATAAGGTCTTTACAAACAATGCTAGATTCTATGCTATGTGATTCTGGCTTATCCAGGAAGTATTGGGGGGAAGGAATTCTGTGTGCTAACTACATACAGAACAGATTGTTTCATTCTACCATAAATAATATCCCTCATTTTTTGCTTTATGGAAAAAAACCCTTTTTAGACCATGTTAAAACTTTTGGTTGTTGGGCTTGGGTTCACATCCCAAAAGGACAGAGAAGGAAAGGAGAACCCAAGGCAAGGAAACTTAGGTTTGTTGGCTATCAAACTTGGTCAAAGGGGTATCGTTTTGCACTAGGGCATGGCAGAGTTGTGATATCAAGACATGCAGAGTTTTGTGAGCAAGATGGTTGGGCCCGTTTACATGGAAATTCAGAAGTTGTTTTATCTTCTGATGAGACAGATAAATTTGTGAAATCTGAGGAAGAAAAGCCACAAATTAAAGAAAGTTCTAAAAGAGGCAGTGATGAGGATTCAAGGGATGAGGGTCCCAGTACACAATCTCCTAAAGCTGAACCAATTTCTCCTGAGCAGGATGAATCAGAAGGGGAAGATAGTTCAGAGGGGGAGAGTGTTCAAGTTAGAAGATCACAAAGAAGCAATAAGGGGGTACCTCCAGAAAGGTTTCCTATACAAGAAGTTAAAACTGTTGCTGTGAAGAAAGAACCTTGTGATTATGAGGAGGTTTTAAAGTTACCACACCAGGAAATAGTAAGGTGGAAAAATGCAATGAAAGCAGAAATGAAATATTTGGCAGAACACAATGTGTTCACCATTGAGCCATTGCCAGAAGGAAAAAAGGTAGTGGGCTGTAGATGGGTGTATAAAATAAAACACTTGGCAGATGGTGGTGTTACGTACAAAGCTAGGCTGGTAGCACGAGGCTTTACTCAAAGAAAAAGTGAAAGCTTTGATGAAACCTTTTCTCCTACTGCAAGGAGCGAAAGTGTACGCTTATTGCTAGCTCTTGCAGCACAACGTGGGTTTAAGGTAAACCATTTTGATATTGAGACAGTTTATCTTAACGCAAATCTGCAAGAAGAAATTTTTATGAATCAAGTGCCAGGTTTTGAGGCAGGCGAACAGAATTCTGTATATAGGCTGAACAAAGCAATTTATGGGCTCAAACAGTCAGCTAGAAATTGGAACGAGTGTCTTGATAATGCTTTAAAAAATCTTGGCTTTAAAAGAAGCTTAGCTGATAACTGCTTGTACACTAAAGGAAAGGGTGATAAACAAGAATTATGTCTGTCTTATGTTGATGATTTGCTTTACTCTACAAAAGGTGACAAGCAAGTGGAAAAGTTTGCAGAACAACTAAGAAAGGAATTTAAAGTAAGAGATTTGGGTCCAGTAAAAAATTATCTCGGTCTAGAAATTCAAAGAACAAACGATGGAAGTTTTTTGTTGAGTCAAAAAGACAAAATAATGGAGTTACTTGAAAGAAACAATATGCAAAACTGCAAGGGAGTAAAACCCCAATGGAAATAGGTTTTTTCAAGGATGAAGGAGAATGCACAGAACCTGTAAGTCCTGAAATGTACCATTCAATAGTTGGAAGTTTACTATACATTTCATTGTGGAGTAGACCAGATTTGAGTTATGCAATTGGAATACTGAGCAGACTAGTAAGCTGTCCCACAGAAAATGCCTGGAAAGTTTTAAAACGTATTTTCTGGTATTTAAAGCAAACACTTGATTATTGTTTAAGACTACCATCTTCAGGGTCTACAAAATTGCAGTGTTACGTTGACAGCGATTGGGCCAACCTGCCTGATAGAAAATCAATTTCTGGAATGGTATTTCAGTTTGGGGATTCCTTGATCGGTTGGAAGTCCAAAAGCAAGGTATCGTGGCCACATCTTCAACAGAGGCTGAATACTGTGCTTTATCAGAGTTGTGTAATGAAATAAAATTTTATGTTCAGATCCTCAAGGATTTAGATATACAATGTGATTATCCAGTTCAAATATGGGAAGACAATCAAGCTGTAATAACTTTGGCTGGGTCTGAGCAGTTTAGAAACAAATCCAAACATTTAGAAATTAAATTTCAAAATGTGGCTGAGAATGTGAAGCAAAACCTGATAATGCTGAAGTATTGTGTGCTGAACTATAAAATATCTGAACAGGAAGTAGAAGGTGCCATACAAAATATGCAATTGGGCAAATCTCCAGGACCGGACGGGCTGACTTCCAGATACTATAGATCTTTGAAAGAGTGGTTACTGCAACCTTTGAAGGAAGTCTGCAATGAAATACTGGAGGGAAAAGGGCACCAGAATCGTGGAAAGAGGCGTACATCACACTTATACCGAAAACAGAGACTGAAAAGACTCAGCTTAAGAACTATCGCCCTATATCGTTACTTAATGTGGATTACAAAATTTTTGCAGACATTTTGGCCAAGAGATTGAAAAAAATATTGATGAAAGAGATTCATAAAGACCAAGCGGGCTTTCTCCGGGAAGACATCTGTCTGATAACTTGAGGAATATAATTGATATTTTGGAAAAATTAGAAGTGAATATAAACACCAAAGCAGTATTGATATTTGTTGACGCGGAGAAAGCTTTTGATAATATCTCTTGGAGTTTTATGAAGAAGAATCTGCATGGGATGGGGGTAGGCCAAGGTTTTGAAAATGGTATAGGTGCAATATACTCTGAACAAAAGGCTAAATTAATTGTAAATAATGTGGTTACGGAAGAATTTAAGATAGAAAAAGGGACACGACAGGGGTGCCCAATTTCCCCACTGCTTTATATCGGTCCTGGAGGTTTTGCTAAATATGATTAGAAAGGACCGGTTGGTTAAGGGCATACAGGTCGGAGCTAAACAGTACAAATTGAGAGCATTTGCAGATGACCTAGTATTGACGTTACAGGAGCCAGAATCTAGTACTAAAAGAGTTTTAGAATTAATTCAGGAATTTGGTCAGGTGGCAGGTTTTAAATTGAACAAGTTAAAAACTAAGGTTTTAGAGAAAAACTTAACACCGATTGAAAGAGAGAGGTTTCAGAATGAGACAGGATTGAATGTGGTAAAGAAAGTGAAATACTTGGGGATTAATATGACAGCCAAAAATGGGAACTTATTTAAAGATAATTACGAAAAATGTTGGACGGAAGTGAAAAAGATTTAGAAATTTGGTCAAATTTGAAACTCTCGTTGCTGGGCCGTATTGCTGTGATAAAGATGAATGTATTGCCTAGAATGTTGTTTTTGTTTCAGACATTACAAATTGTAGATAAGATGGACTGTTTCAAGAAGTGGCAGAGAGATATTTCTAGATTTGTCTGGCAGAGCAAGAAGCCCAGAATAAAATTTAAGATATTAACTGACGCTAAGGAAAGAAGTGGATTTGCCCTGCCAGACCTTAAACTTTATTATGAATCAGCAGCTTTTTGCTGGCTGAAAGAATGGCTACTTCTTGAAAACACAGACATTTTGGATTTAGAAGGTTTTAACAATGTATTTGGATGGCATGCATATTTATGGTATGATAAGGTCAAAGCACACAAAGCATTCAAAAATCATATTGTTAGGAAAGCATTGTTTAATGTCTGGATAAGATACAAAGACTTATTGGAAAATAAAACCCCAAGGTGGCTGTCATCAATGGAAGCAAAAGCTCTGAAAAGGCTCAATATGGAGGCCAAATGGCCGACATATTGAGAAATTTTGGAGCAAGAAGGAGATAAATTGAGACTGCAGAGTTTTGAAAAATTAAAAAATAAAGTGAGAGATTGGCTCCACTACTATCAGATAATGGAGGCATATAACTTGGATAAGAAAATAGGCTTCCAAGTGGAAAAGTCAAAATTAGAAACAGAATTGTTAGAACCCAAAACTAAAAATTTGTCAAGAATGTATAACTTGCTGTTGAAATGGAATACTCAGGATGAAACGGTGAAATCTGCTATGATTAAATGGGCACAAGATGTTGGACATAACATTATGTTCGCTGACTGGGAACAGTTATGGACCACAGGTATGAAGTTTACGGCATGTAATGCCTTAAGAGAGAATATTATGAAAATGATATACAGGTGGTACATGACCCCAGTCAAGCTTGCAAAAATTTATCATTTGCCCGATAATAAATGTTGGAAATGTAAAGAAACTGAAGGTACATTCTTTCACCTTTGGTGGACGTGCCCAAAGATTAAGGCTTTCTGGGAAATGATATACAATGAACTGAAAAAGGTATTTAAATATACCTTTCTGAAGAAACCAGAGGCCTTTCTCTTGGGCATTGTCGGCCAACTGGTGCCAAAGAAGGACAGAACCTTTTTCATGTATGCTACAACAGCAGCAAGAATACTTATCGCAAAGTATTGGAAGACACAAGATCTACCCACTTTGGAAGAATGGCAGATGAAGGTGATTGACTACATGGAATTGGCGGAAATGACTGGCAGAATCCGAGACCAGGGAGAAGAGTCGGTGAAAGAAGATTGGAAAAAATTTAAGGACTATTTACAGAAATATTGTAAAATTAAGGAACTTTAGAAGGATGTTGGATAGAAATTAAGAGGTTTTTAGCTGTAATGCTTTAAGAGACATGAAAAAAAAGGTTAACAATTGGGTAAAAGATTAATGGTAAGGATTTGCTGAACCAACAAACTGAATTGGAATACAAAGAAGGGAGGTATGAGGAGGTCTGGGGAAATAAGAGTAAGGAAGATAGGTTATGGAACATCATTGTGTTTTTAATTGTTTTATTTTGTATGTTTTTTCTTACTTTTTACTTTTTTGCTGTAATTTATACTTTTTTCTTTGTTTTCTGTATTTTTGTGAAACTTTAATAAATATCATTTAAAAAAAAAAGTATTGTGAGAGTATGCAAAATGTGGCTTATGTATTTACAAAAGCACTAACTTTTGAAAAACATGCACAACTGGTGACAAAATTAGGAATTGTTGTGTGTGATGTGTAAATATGTCTGTATATGTTTAAAGTACTGTTTCTGTTTCTGTTTGAATGAGAGGGGTGTTAGGGGACATTCGGCACAGAAACATGTGTGTATACCTTTAAGAAGTTTCTGGGGTTAATTGGCTGCAGCTGGCCATTGCTATAAAGGAAAAAAGCTGAGTTTTGTAGCCTGCCTGCAGGAATAACACCCACCAGAGTTTGTGTTTATTATTTTGTAATAAAGTCTTCGTTATAGTTTGGGTTTTTACACCTATGTCTCCTGGAGTCACTCTGTCCTCTGCCACCAGCTGGAAATCTCCCCCTCCAACATACAATTCAGTCTGTCTCAGATTGAATTGTACGTTCGTGGTAACTTCTCTTGAATCCCTCTTAAAAGTATAAAGATGCCACAGTCTTATTCAAAGATGATGAAAGATGTTTAGAGCATCAGTTCACAGTTGGATTCCTGAAGGCAGACTTATTTACAAATATGTACATGTGGATCTACCCCATATGGGGGAACAATCCCAGTGCTTCTGCTAGCTGAGAGCTAGCAGAGCAGTCCTAGCTAGAAGCTGGTCAAACAAAGATGGGAATCGAAAGGACAGAGGTGATTCGTCCTTTTGTTACCTGGACAGGTTTGGTGAAGCTCACCTTTAGTCACATGCAAAGCAAGGATGCTCCAGCCAGGAGGAACAGGAAGTTTCAACTGGCTGGACCAAACATTCCCCTGCATGTCTTCTCTAGCATTAGAATGAATGTTGTACTTGACTGCCTCTCATGGATCACATATCACAGCCTCTCTGGATTCTGCAGCAGCCTCTTGAACCCACTCCTCTGCTCTAGCCTCAGAGTCTGAACTGCCCCCCGTCACAGGTTCTTCCTGCTCACTAAACCCTGTTGACCCTTCAGCACCCAGCACCACCTCCCAATTCTTTCTTTTAAGGAGATACTTTGCAGCTCAAAAGGATGAGGCATCTAAGCTCCCCACAAACAGATCAGAAGGAAGGCTCCACCGAGAGAGGATCTCGTATGACTTCCCCGTGAGCAAATTGGGGGTATTCTCCATGAGCAGAGGAAGCCTGGGTGAGCTTCAAATTTGCCCCCACCCTCCCACTGCTGCCTCTGGGAATAAGGGGAGCCTCTACTCTTAGACACCAGCAAGAGGGAATGGCACCCCCTGGCCACCCACCCCAGCCCACCTCTAAGCCTCTCCCTGGGAGGAGCGCTCTTTGGATGGGGACCTCACCTGTGGCTGCACAGGACAGAGTACCAGGGCTGCTGCTTCACATACAGGAAGGCGAAGACCTGGACGGTGAGGGTGAAGAGGATGTTGAGGATGATGGAGAGCAGGAGCGGTGGGGAGAGGAGCCGTCTGGGGGGTCGGTTGGGGGCCAGCTTGGGGTAGGCGTGGGTCAGGCTCACTGTGGGGAGGAAGAGATGGCATGGAGAAAGCAAAGAGTTTAAAAAGGTTGCCCTTCCCTTTATTGGCCGAGGGAGCCGGCGTACAGCTTCCGGGTCATGTGGCCAGCATGACTAAGCTGCTTCTGGTCGAACCAGAGCAGCGCACGGAAACGCCATTTACCTTCCCACCAGAGTGGGACCTATTTATCTACTTGCACTTTGATGTGCTTTCGAGCAACAGGAGCTCACCCCGTCGCAGGAATTTGAACCGCCAACCTTCTGATCGGCAAGCCCAAGAGGCTCAGTGGTTTAACCCACAGCGCCACCTGTGTCCCTTGCTCATTCAGGTTGGGGTAAGTCAAATTCAGGCTCCCTTCAGCTCAAGAGTGAATTGGCGTGTTTCACATCTGACTGTGCACCTTCCTTGTAGCAGCTGCCCCAAACCCAAACCCAAACCCCATAACACAGTGATCTGCTTACTTGTTAGGCACACGACTAGGGTGATCTTGAAGGAGGTACTGGATATTCCCAAAGATCTGTATTTGCTAAAAGTGGGGCAGAGAGAGAGAGAGAATGAGTTCACGGAGGGCTCTCAGTCCTGCTGCTTGTGGACAGATTGTCACCCAGATTGTTACTTCGGATTGTTACGGAATTAACTCAGACCGAGTGGGAGAGTCTACGGGACTTTGCAACGGCACCCAAAGATGTTTTGCTGGGACTGGATTCACACACGGCTCCACGCTCCATTGCGGCAAAATCACTTCCCTGCCTTACAGGATCCCAGGCAACAAACACGTAGCTCCTTTAGGTGGAGGCTTTTTATAAAGACGAGAACCACTGTGGATCAAGGATCTGGCTGTGACCTGGGGAGAGACCAGGGTTCAAATCCCTCACTCAGAAATGCAGCTCGCTGTGGGTGAGGAGGAGAAGATAGAAACCACCTTGAGCTCCTTGGAGGGAATGTAATTAATAGTATTAGTATATTAATTAATTATAGTAAAAAAAAGAAAGAAAGAAAGGACTCTCTTCAACTGAAGCCATTGTCTACCTCCAAGTTAGAACTACAGTTTAGGGGCACATGCTGTCAGTCACCCACCATTTGGCCTTTGGATGAATCTACTGTTAGAATTCCCCTTCATGGATCACTGCCTTGCCGTGGCGAAGGGGCTTGAATAACTCAGAGAAGCTATGAACTATGCCAAGCAGGGCACCCAAGATGGACAGGTCATAGTGGAGAGTTTGGACCAAACGTGATCCACCTGGAGGAGGAACCGGCAAGCCACTCCAGTATCCCTGCCAAGAAAACTCCATGGACAAAGACAACAGGCATATAAAAGTTATGACGCTGGAAGATGAGCCCCTCAGGTCGGAAGGTGTCTAACATGCTACTGGCGAAGAGCGGAGGACAAGTACAAGTAGATTCAGAGCTGATGAAGCGGCTGGGCCAAAGCCGAAAGGACGCTCAGTTGTGGATATGCCTGGAAGCGAAAGGAAAGTCCAATGCTGTAAAGAAAAATATTGCATAGGAACCTGGAATGTAAGAACCATGAACCTGGGTAAGTTGGATGTGGTCAAAAATGAGATGGCAAGAATAAATATTGACATCCTGGGCATCAGTGAACTAAAATGGACAGGAATGGGCGAATTCAGTTCGGATGACCATCATATCTACTACTGTGGGCAAGAAACCCATAAAAGAAATGGAGTGGCCCTCATAGTCAACGAAAGAGTGGCAAAAGCTGTACTGGGATGCAATCTCAAAAATGATAGAATGATCTCGATACAAATCCAAGGCAGACCTTATAACATCACAGTAATCTAAGTTTATGCACCAACTACTGGTGCTGAAGAAACTGAAAGTGACCACTTCTATGAAGACTTACAACACCTTATAGAAGTGACACCAAAGAAGGATGTTCTTCTCATTATAGGGGATTGGAATGCTAAAGTAGGGAGTCAAGAGATAAAAGGAACAACTGGCAAGTTTGGCCTTGGAGATCAAAACGAAGCAGGGCAAAGGCTAATAGAGTTCTGTCAAGCGAACAAGCTGGTCATCACAAACACTCTTTTCCAACGACACAAGAGACGACTCTACACATGGACATCACCAGATGGGCAGCATCGAAATCAGATTGATTATATTCTCTGCAGCTAAAGATGGAGAAGCTCTATACAGTCAGCAAAAACAAGACCTGGAGCTGACTGTGGCTCAGATCATCAGCTTCTTATAGCAAAATTCAGGCTTAAAATGAAGAAAGTAGGAAAAACCACTGGGCCGGTAAGATACAATCTAAATCAAATCCCTTATGAATACACAGTGGAAGTGAGGAACAGGTTTAAGGATTTAGATTTGCTGGACAGAGTGCCTGAAGAACTATGGATGGAGGCTCGCAACATTATACAGGAGGCAGTAACGAAAACCATCCCAATGAAAAGGAAATGCAAGAAAGCAAAGTGGCTGTCCAACAAGGCCTTACAAATAGCGGGGGAGAGAAGGCAAGCAAAATGTGAGGGAGATAGTGAAAGATACAGGAAATTGAATGCAGATTTCCAAAAAATAGCAAAGAGAGACAAAAAGACCTTCTTAAACGAGCAATGCAAAGAAATAGAGGAAAACAACGGAATGGGAAGAACCAGAGATTTGTTCAAGAAAATTGGAGATATGAAAGGAACATTTCGTACAAAGATTACCATAATAAAGGACAAAAGTGGTAAGGACCTAACAGAAGCAGAAGACATCAAAAAGAGGTGGCAAGAATACACAGAGGAATTATACCAGAAAGATATGGATGGCTTGTACACCCCAGGTAGTGTGGTTGCTGACCTTGAGCCAGACATCCTGGAGAGTGAAGTCAAATGGGCCTTAGAAAGCACTGCAAATAACAAGGCCAGTGGAAGTGATGGTATTCCAGCTGAACTATTTAAAATTTTAAAGGATGATGCAGTTAAGGTGCTACACTCAATATGCCAGCAAGTTTGGAAAACCCAGCAGTGGCCAGAGGACTGGAGAAGATCAGTCTACATCCCAATCCCAAAGAAGGGCAGTGCCAAAGAATGCTCCAACTACCGCACAATTGCACTCATTTCACACGCTAGCAAGGTTATGCTTAAAATTCTACAAGGAAGGCTCAAGCAGTATATGGACCGAGAACTCCCAGAAGTTTTTTACTTTCTTGGGCTCCATGATCACTGCAGATGGTGACAGCAGCCACGAAATTAAAAGGCGCCTGCTTCTTGGGAGAAAAGCAATGACAAACCTAGACAGCATCTTAAAAAGCAGAGACATCGCCTTGCCGACAAAGGTCAGTATAGTTAAAGCTATGGTTTTCCCAGTAGTGATGTATGGAAGTGAGAGCTGGACCATAAAGAAGGCTGATTGCCAAAGAACTAATGCTTTTGAATTATGGTGCTGGAGGAGACTCTTGAGAGTCCCATGGACTGCAAGAAGATCCAACCTCTCCATTCTGAAGGAAATCAGCCCTGAGTGCTCACTGGAAGGACAGATCCTGAAGCTGAGACTCCAACACTTTGGCCACCTCATGAGAAGAGAAGACTCCCTGGAAAAGACCCTGATGTTGGGAAAGGTGGAGGATGCAAGGAGAAGGGGACAACAGGACGAGATGGTGGGACAGTGTTCTCGAAGCTACCAGCATGAGTTTGACCAAACTGCGGGAGGCAGTGGAAGACAGGAGGGCCTGGCGTGCTCTGGTCCATAGGGTCACGAAGAGTCGGACACGACTAAATGACTAAACAACAAAAATCCATTAGTCTTCAAAGCAGGGGTTGCAAACCTTTGGCCTGTGAGCCAAATTTAGGCCAGCACAGGTCTCAAATTGCCATGTAAGGCTGTTTTCTCCAAACCACACCCACCTGTCCTATAATATGTGACATCAGGTGTGGGGCACACAGACGTGGCTCCTACGGAAATCAGGGTTGAAATCACCATCCATCACGTGATGGGTGGTAAAGTTCAAGTCCGATGTATCTACTGCAAGATCACAATGTGGTGATCAAAAAACGTGTTGTCCCTCCTACCGGACAAAAGTGGCCGACCCAATTCCGGTCCATCTGTCTCCCACATATCCCATGTTCTTTGGTTTTTACGTGAACGGGGCAAACACATGATGAAACAAAACACGACTGCTGCCATCATGTCCATAGCTTAGCCCTCAAACACCTCAGGGTCAGTTCCCATTCTCTTGACCATATGCAGCAAGGGTCCTTTGCATGATGCAAAAAATCACTTTCATGAAACGAGCATCTTACCTGGATGAGCTTGTCTCATGTGGTACATCATTGGGTATGGGTGGGATTCCCACACAGTTCACAGATGGTCTCTTTCACCAAAGAGATTTCCATTCAGCCTAGCCTCATTCAGTCTAGCCTTTTCTTTCTTCTTCTTTTCCCTTTTCGACTTCTTGTTATTTTTGTCACTTTCTTTCTTCTTCAACACGGCACAGGACCCGGTGCTTGGATAAATCATGCTCTGAAGAAAAAGAAGAAGAAGAAAAACGAGTTTGGATTTGATATCCCGCTTTATCACTACCCTAAGGAGTCTCAAAGCGGCTCACAACCTCCTTTCCCTTCCTCCCCACAACAAATACCCTGTGAGGTGAGTGAGGCTAAGAGACTTCAGAGAAGTATGACTGGCCCAAGGTCACCCAGCAGCTGCAGGTGGAGGAGCGGGAAGTGAACCCGGGTCACCAGAGTTCCAGTCCACCGCTCTTAACCACTACACCACATTGGCTCTCATTCTGAGAAGAAGCCTTGATTGTTGCCAAAGAAATGTCTTCTCAGGGGGGGAAAGGTGTGAAAGATGGAAAGGATTTGCTGAGATAATTAACAACTAGAATACAAAAAAGGGAGGTGTGAGGAGGTCGATGAAATAAGTTAATGAAAGTTAAGGATTTGGGAAAATTGGATTTGTTTTTAAATATGTTGTATATTTTTGTTTTTTGATTGTTGTATTGTGTGTTTTGTTTTTTCTTTTTGATTTTGGTTTTTATTGATTTGTATTGTTTAATTGTTATTTTTATCTATTCTTTTCTTTCTTTTTCTCTTTTTTCTTATTTTTCCTTCATTTTTCTTTGTAACTTTAAAATTCTCAATAAATATCATTAAAAAAAAAAAATAGAGGCTATTTATGCAACTGCTGGAGACATTCAGTACCAAGCTATACAGCATCCCATATGAGCCTTCTTCTGCAGAACGTAAATTGATATTACCAGCTAAGTATGGAGACCTAAATGAATGAAGGCTGCATATTCTCTGCACTTTGGCGAACAAAGATGCTACAGTATTCCGAAGTTTGTTAACCAATTCTTCCAGGTAGGCAAGCTTGCCAAAGAATAGCTTGCCAGTCACTGCCAGTTTTCTGCTGCTGTGTGCAGCTCCAGGAAAGTGTGCATGTGTTCTAGGGAGGGGCCCTCAATTCCTGCAGCTCGATGGTGGGATCGAACAGGATTGGTAAGGAGCAATGCATGCTAAGCGTGAGCGCCAGAACACGTCAGAGTCTCCAGCAGCGCGAAGCAATTGCTCAGCAGATGTCAGTGTGGAAATAGTATCCTTGAAAGGCTGAAAACCACCAATTTGAAGGTTAGATGGCTCATACTCCACAAGGCCCAAAATACTTGTACACAAGAGACTGGTCCTGACTGATCCTATTTGCAACTGGAAAGGTTTAAAATGTAGCTTATCAGTACTCAGAAATCTTTGGAAAGCACAAAACGCCATGTGACCAAAACCACAGCAACAAAACACATCAGCATGTGAAACACAGAATACTCTAAAAAATTATCTATTTTTGAAAATAAAAGAAATGTACTTACCACATTAAGATGGATAAAGGATGCACACATTAAAATATGTTGATTTTGGTACCTTGTGGTTGGTTTTTGTACTAGTCTAATATATTTGGAAGAAAGACTGTTATTTAGATCAGCCATTTCCCCATTTATTTTTAAGGAATGACATTAAACAGATGGGAAAACATACCAAACACTTTAACCAGCTCTAAAAATGAGTAACACATATAATAAGGAATTTGGCAGTTTAAGTCAATCTTCATTTTGTTACAACTGGGGTCATGTTCAGGTCATACAACATTTCTCTCTAAATACATGTTTTTCTAAGGAAAAGTGGCCAGATTAGTTTGAAGACCTTTTTTTGGCAAAAAAGGAATTGTCCAGCACATCCCTTTTGGATGAGATCCTTGCAGACATGCATCATATTCCATGCAGGCACTGAGGTCTCTCATCCCCGGGTTTGGGGGGGAAATGCTCTTGAAGTTCAGGGGACCCTTCCGAGCAGGACTGAGAAGGTACAAAGAGTTGAGATTGAAAATAAAAAAATGGGAAATCCCTCTCCTCTACCCATCAGAAGCATTTTCCACTCACAAGTGGGGCTGTTTTGACCTTGTAAATAAATCCAGTACTTACACAAATAAGGTGGCTGATGACCTTTTTGTTCAAATGGGTCAATGAAATATATCAATTTTGTACATATTTAAAAATACAACATTTGTTAGAGTAAGTTGTGGAAATTTTAGATGATATTTAATCAAAAAAATGGAATAAGAGCTTATAGAGCAGATTTTCCACACCTAAAACAACATCAAAATATTGTCCCAGAGTGCACTTTGCAACATACACTTTTATTATTATTGTGATATATGAATTATGCAAAAAGCAATGAAAATGAAATTAGCAGGTCAGAAGCAAGTGGTGAATGCAATGAGCATTCAAAATGAATACACTTATTTGTGTAAGCGTTAGGATTATGTTAGAAATAACGCTTATTTGTGTAAGTATTTCTAACATATAATCTTCTCCGTCACTTTAAAGAATGTGCATGCATCAATCACAATAGAAAGCTTCCAATATGCAACTGTCATTCCTGCTCATTCAGTGTAAGTATTTGCCAGATACCTTTAAGTTGTCAGTATACCTTCTTTACAAACCCAATCTGCAAAGAAGCGCTCCTAGTCTTCAATTTCTCACAAATATTTGATGTTATCTAAAGATAAACAACAGAGATAAACAACAATGTTTGCCTTCAACACAGCATCAATAAACTACAGCACAGTGCTTTTATTTCAGAATTTGCATAGTGCAACCCTGTTTTTACAACAGCTTTCCTCTGAAGAGATCTAGACACAACCACACTTCCAGTTCTGTGTGCCACTAAGGGTTGGTTTTTTTGTACAGAAATCAAGATACCTAGGAGTGCTACAGACCTGTACAACTCTTTTTTTTAAAATGATATTTATTAAAGTTTCAAAAAAAGGTTACATAGATAAGAAAAAGAAAAATAGAGAAAAGAAAAATACAAAATACAAAAAAAAAGCAATTAAAAACAATTCCATGTTTTCATCACTTATCTTTCATTTACTTGTTTCCCGGACCTCCTCATGCCTCCCTTTTTTGTATTCCAGGTCAATTTATTAGTTCAGCAATTCCTTTCCCTCCTTATTTTATCCTGATCTTTAATCTTAATATATTATAGCATTAGGTTTTTACGTATTGAAAATCCAATTTTTCCATATTCTTTTATACCATTACGGCTAGAAACCACTTAACTTCAATCCAACATCATTCTAACATTCATTAATTTTGCAATATTTCTGTAAATAGTCTTTAAATTTCTTCCAATCTTCTTCCACCGACTCTTCTCCCTGGTCTCGGATTCTGCCAGTCATTTCCGCCAGTTCCATGTAGTCCATCATTTTCATCTGCCATTCTTCCAGTGTGGGTAGGTCTTGTGTCTTCCAATGCTTTGCAATAAGTATTCTTGCTGCTGTTGTAGCATACATAAAGAAAGTTCTGTCCTTCTTTAACACCGATTGGCCGACTATGCCCAGGAGAAAGGCCTCTGGTTTCTTCAAGAAGGTATATTTGAATACCTTTTTTAATTCATTATAAATCATCTCCCAGAAAACCTTAATCCTTGGGCACGTCCACCAAAGGTGAAAGAATGTACCTTCAGTTTCTTTACATTTCCACAGACCTGTACAACTCTTAACTAAATAGTAGTTTAAGTACTGCATTTGAAGCCCTGTTTTTCAACATATCATATCTGCCCTGTTTTTGTAACATAACACAGGTAAATGTGTTGTAAGGAGGGCTTACTTGCAATTCAATATTTTCTGCCCAACGATTGGGACTGCTAAGGAAAGATCTCAAATCAATAAAAGTCTCTTGCCCCTGCCCACCTTTTCAAGGATAAAAATCTATACCACATTCAAGGGCACATATAATGTCCCTGATCAGCAAATATTGGAGTGTTGTGGGTGCAAGTCGCAGGGAGGATTGTGGGAGTTAGCCACATGCACATCCAAAACTCTTACCAGGTTGATTCAGTGGTACCTCGGGTTACATACGCTTCAGGTTACAGACTCCGCTAACCCAGAAATAGTGCTTCAGGTTAAGAACTTTGCTTCAGGACGAGAACAGAAATCGTGCTCCGGCGGCGCGGCAGCAGCAGGAGGCCCCATTAGCTAAAGTGGTGCTTCAGGGTAAGAACAATTTCAGGTTAAGAACAGACCTCTGGAACGAATTAAGTACTTAACCCGAGGTACCACTGTACTTTGTATCTGAAGAAGCGTGCATGCACACGAAAGCTCATACCAATAACAAGCTGAGTTGGTCTCTAAGGAGCTACTGGAAGGTTTTTTTATTTTGTTTCTTACCAGGTTGATAACTGAAGTCTGGAAACTGAAGTCTGAAGTTTGAAGCCAGAAGGTGCTGCGGCAACAGCACAGGTCATCGAGCAGAGGAGGCAGAGGCAGCAGCGCAGGTCGTCGAGGCATTGACAGCCAGAAGAGGCAGAGGCAGCAGCGCAAGTCATCGAGGCTTAGACAGTCAGAAGGGGCTGTGGCAGCAGCGCAGGTCACCAAGGCTTTGACAGCCAGAAGAGGCAGAGGCAGCAGCACAGGTCATTGAGGCTTTGACAGCCAGAAGAGGCAGCAGCAGCAGCGCAGGTCATTGAGGCTTTGACAGCCAGAAGAGGCAGAGGCAGCAGCGCAGGTCATTGAGGCTTTGACAGCCAGAAGAGGCAGCAGCAGCAGCGCAGGTCGTCGAGGCTTTGACAGCCAGAAGAGGCAGAAGAAGCAGGGCAGGTCGTCGAAGCTTTGACAGCCAGAATGGGCAGAGGCAGCAGCGCAGGTCATTGAGGCTTTGACAGCCAGAAGAGGCAGAGGCAGCAGCGCAGGTCATCGAGGCTTTGACAGCCAGAAGAGGCAGAGGCAGCAGCGCAGGTCGTCGAGGCTTTGACAGCCAGAAGAGGCAGAGGCAGCAGCACAGGTCATTGAGGCTTTGACAGCCAGAAGAGGCAGCAGCAGCAGCGCAGGTCATTGAGGCTTTGACAGCCAGAAGAGGCAGCAGCAGCAGCGCAGGTCGTCGAGGCTTTGACAGCCAAAAGAGGCAGAAGAAGCAGGGCAGGTCGTCGAAGCTTTGACAGCCAGAATGGGCAGAGGCAGCAGCACAGGTCATCGAGGCTTTGACAGCCAGAAGAGGCAGAGGCAGCAGCGCAGGTCATCGAGGCTTTAACAACCAGAAGGGGCTGTGGCAGCAGCACAGGTCATCGAGGCTTTGACAGCAAGAAGGGGCTGCGGCAGCAGCGCAGGTCATCGAGGCTTTGAGAGTTAGAAGAGGCTGCGGCAGCAGCGCAGGTCGTTGAGGCTTTGACAGCCAGAAGAGGCAGGGGGAGCACCGCAAGTAATCGAGGCTTTGACAGCCAGAAGAGGCTGTGGCAGCAGCGCAGGTCGTTGAGGCTTTGACAGCCAGAAGGGGCAGTGGGAGGAGAGCAGGTCATCGAGGCTTTGACAGCCAGAAGGGGCAGTGGCAGCAGCGCAGGTTGTTGAGGCTTTGACAGCCAGAAGAGACAGCGGCAGCAGCGCAGGTCGTCGAGGCTTTGACAGCCGGAAGGGGCAGTGGCAGCATAGCAGGTCATCGAGGTTTTGACAGCCAGAAGAGGCAGGGGCAGCAGCGCAAGTCGTTGAGGCTTTGACAGCCAGAATGGGCAGTGGCAGCAGCGCAGGTTGTCAAGGCTTTGACACCCTGAAGAGACAGAGGTAGCAGCACAGGTCTTCGAGGCTTTGACAGCCAGAAGGGGCTGTGGCAGCAGCGCAGGTCGTCGAGGCTTTGACAGCCAGAAGAGGCAGCGGCAGCAGCGCAGGTTGTTGAGGCTTTGAGAGACAGAGGTAGCAGCGCAGGTCATCGAGGCTTTGACAGCCAGAAGAGGCAGAGGCAGCAGAGCCAGTCATCGAGGCTTTGACAGCCAGAAGGGGCTGCGGCAGCAGCGCAGCTCGTCGAGGCTTTGACAGCCAGAAGAGGCAGCAGCCGCAGCGCAGGTCATCGAGGCTTTGACAGCCAGAAGGGGCTGCGGAAGCAGCGCAGGTCATCGAGGCTTTGACAGCCAGAAGGGCTGCGGCAGCAGCGCAGGTCTTCGAGGCTTTGACAGCCAGAAGGGGCAGTGGGAGCATAGCAGGTCGTCGTGGATTAGACAGCCAGAAGAGGCTGCGGCAGCAGCACAGGTCGTCGAGGCTTTGACACTCAGAAGGGGCAGTGGCAGGAGAGCTGGTCATTGAGGCTTTGACAGCCAGAAAGGGCAGCGGCAGCATCGCAGGTTGTTGAGGCTTTGACAGCCAGAAGAGGCAGAGGTAGCAGCGAAGGTTATCGAGGCTTTGACAGCCAGAAGGGGCTGAGGCAGCAGCGCAAGTCGTCAAGGCTTTGATAGCCAGAAGGCGCAGTGGCAGGAGAGCTGGTCATTGAGGCTTTGACAGCCAGAAAGGGCAGCGGCAGCAGCGCAGGTTGTCAAGGCTTTGATAGCCAGAAGAGGCAGCAGCAGCAGCGCAGGTCGTCGAGGCTTTGACAGCCAGAAGGGGCAGCGGCAGCAGCAGCAGCGCAGGTCATCGAGGCTTTGACAGCCAGAAGGAGCAGTAGCAGCATAGCAGGTCATCGAGGCTTTGACAGCCAGAAGAGGAAGCAGCAGCAGCACAGGTCGTTGTGGCTTTGACAGCCAGAAGGGGCAGTGGCAGGAGAGCAGGTCATCGAGGCTTTGACAGCCAGAAGAGGCAGTGGCCGCAGTGCAGGTTGTTGAGGCTTTGACAGACAGAAGAGACAGAGGTAGCAGCGCAGGTCATGGAGGCTTTGACAGCCAGAAGGGGCTGCGGCAGCAGCGCAGGTCGTCGAGGCTTTGACAGCCAGAAGGGGCTGCGGCAGCAGCGCAGGTCGTCGAGGCTTTGACAGCCAGAAGGGTCAGCGGCAGAAGCACAGGTCATCGACGCTTTGACAGCCAGAAGAGGCAGAGGCAGCAGCACAGGTCATTGAGGCTTTGACAGCCAGAAGAGGCAGCAGCAGCAGCGCAGGTCATTGAGGCTTTGACAGCCAGAAGAGGAAGCAGCAGCAGCGCAGGTCGTCGAGGCTTTGACAGCCAGATAAGGCAGAAGAAGCAGGGCAGGTCGTCAAAGCTTTGACAGCCAGAATGGGCAGAGGCAGCAGGACAGGTCATCGAGGCTTTAACAACCAGAAGGGGCTGTGGCAGCAGCACAGGTCATCGAGGCTTTGACAGCAAGAAGGGGCAGCGGCAGCAGCGCAGGTCATCGAGGCTTTGAGAGCTAGAAGTGGCTGCGGCAGCAGCGCAGGTCGTTGAGGCTTTGACAGCCAGAAGGGGCAGGGGGAGCACCGCAAGTCATCGAAGCTTTGACAGCCAGAAGAGGCTGTGGCAGCAGCGCAGGTCGTTGAGGCTTTGACAGCCAGAAGGGGCTGCTGCAGCAGCGCAGGTCGTTGAGGCTTTGACAGCCAGAAGGGGCAGCGGCAGCAGCGTAGGTCGTCGAGGCTTTGACAGCCAGAAGGGGCAGTGGCAGCAGCGCAGGTTGTTGAGGCTTTGACAGCCAGAAGAGACAGCGGCAGCAGCGCAGGTCGTCGAGGCTTTGACAGCCGGAAGGGGCAGTGGCAGCATAGCAGGTCATCGAGGCTTTGACAGCCAGAAGAGGCAGGGGCAGCAGCGCAAGTCGTTGAGGCTTTGACAGCCAGAATGGGCAGTGGCAGCAGCGCAGGTCGTCAAGGCTTTGACACCCAGAAGAGACAGAGGTAGCAGCACAGGTCTTCGAGGCTTTGACAGCCAGAAGGGGCTGCGGCAGCAGCGCAGGTCGTCGAGGCTTTGACAGCCAGAAGAGGCAGCGGCAGCAGCGCAGGTTGTTGAGGCTTTGACAGACAGAAGAGACAGAGGTAGCAGCGCAGGTCATTGAGGCTTTGACAGCGAGAAGAGGCAGAGGCAGCAGAGCCGGTCATCGAGGCTTTGACAGCCAGAAGGGGCTGCGGAAGCAGCGCAGGTCATCGAGGCTTTGACAGTGAGAAGGGTCTGCGGCAGCAGCGCAGGTCATCGAGGCTTTGACAGCCAGAAGGGGCAGCGGCAGCAGCGCAGGTCGTCGAGGCTTTGACAGCCAGAAGGGGCAGTGGGAGCATAGCAGGTCGTCGAGGATTTGACAGCCAGAAAGGGCAGCAGCAGTAGCGCAGGTTGTTGAGGCTTTGACAGCCAGAAGAGGCAGAGGTAGCAGCCCAGGTTATCGAGGCTTTGACAGCCAGAAGGGGCAGCGGCAGGAGAGCAGGTCATCGAGGCTTTGACAGCCAGAAGAGGCAGTGGCAGCAGCGCAGGTTGTTGAGGCTTTGACAGACAGAAGAGACAGAGGTAGCAGCGCAGGTCATCGAGGCTTTGACAGCCAGAAGAGGCAGTGGAAGCAGAGCAGGTCATCGAGGCTTTGACAGCCAGAAGGGGCAGTGGCAGCAGCACAGGTCTTCGAGGCTTTGACAGCCAGAAGGGGCAGTGGCAGCAGCACAGGTCTTCGAGGCTTTGACAGCCAGAAGGGGCAGTGGCAGCAGCACAGGTCTTCGAGGCTTTGACAGCCAGAAGAGGCAGTGGAAGCAGAGCAGGTCATCGAGGCTTTGACAGCCAGAAGGGGCAGTGGCAGCAGCACAGGTCTTCGAGGCTTTGACAGCCAGAAGGGGCAGTGGCAGCAGCACAGGTCTTCGAGGCTTTGACAGCCAGAAGGGGCAGTGGCAGCAGCGCAGGTCGTTGAGGCTTTCACAGCCAGAAGGGGCAGTGGCAGCAGAGCAGGTCATCGAGGCTTTGACAGCCAGAAGAGGCAGTGGAAGCAGAGCAGGTCATCGAGGCTTTGACAGCCAGAAGGGGCTGCGGCAGCAGCGCAGGTCGTCGAGGCTTTGACAGCCAGAAGGGGCTGCGGCAGCAGCGCAGGTCGTCGAGGCTTTGACAGCCAGAAGGGGCAGTGGCAGCAGAGCAGGTCATCGAGGCTTTGACAGCCAGAAGGGGCTGCGGCAGCAGCGCAGGTCATCGAAGCTTTGACAGCGGGAAGGGGCAGTGGTATCAGAGCAGGTCATCGAGGCTTTGACAGCCAGAAGGGGCAGCGGCAGCAGCGCAGGTCGTCGAGGCTTTGACAGCCAGAAGAGGCCGTGGCAGCAGCGCAGGTCGTTGAGGCTTTGACAGCCAGAAGGGGCAGTGGCAGCAGAGCAGGTCGTCGAGGATTTGACAGCCAGAAAGGGCAGCAGCAGTAGCGCAGGTTGTTGAGGCTTTGACAGCCAGAAGAGGCAGAGGTAGCAGCCCAGGTTATCGAGGCTTTGACAGCCAGAAGGGGCAGCGGCAGGAGAGCAGGTCATCGAGGCTTTGACAGCCAGAAGAGGCAGTGGCAGCAGCGCAGGTTGTTGAGGCTTTGACAGACAGAAGAGACAGAGGCAGCAGCGCAGGTCATCGAGGCTTTGACAGCCAGAAGAGGCAGTGGAAGCAGAGCAGGTCATTGAGGCTTTGACAGCCAGAAGGGGCAGTGGCAGGAGAGCAGGTCATCGAGGCTTTGACAGCCAGAAGAGGCAGTGGCAGCAGCACAGGTCTTCGAGGCTTTGACAGCCAGAAGGGGCAGTGGCAGGAGAGCAGGTCATCGAGGCTTTGACAGCCAGAAGAGGCAGTGGCAGCAGCGCAGGTTGTTGAGGCTTTGACAGACAGAAGAGACAGAGGTAGCAGCGCAGGTCATCGAGGCTTTGACAGCCAGAAGAGGCAGTGGAAGCAGAGCAGGTCATCGAGGCTTTGACAGCCAGAAGGGGCTGCGGCAGCAGCGCAGGTCGTCGAGGCTTTGACAGCCAGAAGAGGCCGTGGCAGCAGCGCAGGTCGTTGAGGCTTTCACAGCCAGAAGGGGCAGTGGCAGCAGAGCAGGTCATCGAGGCTTTGACAGCCAGAAGAGGCAGTGGAAGCAGAGCAGGTCATCGAGGCTTTGACAGCCAGAAGGGGCTGCGGTAACAGCGCAGGTCGTCGAGGCTTTGACAGCCAGAAGAGGCCGTGGCAGCAGCGCAGGTCGTTGAGGCTTTGACAGCCAGAAGGGGCATTGGCAGCAGAGCAGGTCATCGAGGCTTTGACAGCCAGAAGGGGCTGCGGCAGCAGCGCAGGTCATCGAAGCTTTGACAGCGGGAAGGGGCAGTGTTATCAGAGCAGGTCATCGAGGCTTTGACAGCCAGAAGGGGCAGCGGCAGCAGCGCAGGTCGTCGAGGCTTTGACAGCCAGAAGAGGCCGTGGCAGCAGCGCAGGTCGTTGAGGCTTTGACAGCCAGAAGGGGCAGTGGCAGCAGAGCAGGTCATCGAGGCTTTGACAGCCAGAAGGGGCTGCGGCAGCAGCGCAGGTCATCGAGCTTTGACAGCGGGAAGGGGCAGTGTTATCAGAGCAGGTCATCGAGGCTTTGACAGCCAGAAGGGGCAGCGGCAGCAGCGCAGGTCGTCGAGGCTTTGACAGCCAGAAGAGGCAGGGGCAGCAGCGCAAGTCGTTGAGGCTTTGACAGCCAGAATAGGCAGTGGCAGCAGCGCAGGTCGTTGAGGCTTCGACAGCCAGAAGGGGCTGCGGCAGCAGAGCAGGTTGTCGAGGCTTTGACAGCCAGAAGTGGCTGCTGCAGCAGCGCAGGTCATCGAGGCTTTGACAGCCAGAAGGGGCAGTGGCAGCATAGCAGGTCGTTGAGGCTTTGACAGCCAGAAGGGGCAGGGGGAGCACCGCAAGTCATCGAGGCTTTGACAGCCAGAAGGGGCTGTGGCAGCAGCGCAGGTCGTTGAGGCTTTGACAGCCAGAAGGGGCTGCTGCAGCAGCGCAGGTCATTGAGGCTTTGACAGCCGGAAGGGGCAGCGACAGCAACGCAGGTCGTTGAGGCTTTGACAGCCAGAAGGGGCAGCGGCAGCAGCGCAGGTCGTTGAGGCTTTGACAGCCAGAAGGGGCAGCGGCAGCAGCACAGGTCGTCGAGGCTTTGACACTCAGAAGGGGCAGTGGCAGGAGAGCTGGTCATTGAGGCTTTGACAGCCAGAAAGGGCAGCGGCAGCAGCACAGGTCATCGAGGCTTTAACACTCAGAAGGGGCAGTGGCAGGAGAGCTGGTCATTGAGGCTTTGACAGCTAGAAAGGGCAGCGGCAGCATCGCAGGTTGTTGAGGCTTTGACAGCCAGAAGAGGCAGAGGTAGCAGCCCAGGTTATCGAGGCTTTGACAGCCAGAAGGGGCTGCGGCAGCAGCGCAAGTCGTTGAGGCTTTGACAGCCAGAAGAGGCAGAGGTAGCAGCCCAGGTTATCGAGGCTTTGACAGCCAGAAGGGGCTGCGGCAGCAGCGCAGGTCGTCAAGGCTTTGATAGCCAGAAGAGGCAGCAGCAGCAGCGCAGGTCGTCGAGGCTTTGACAGCCAGAAGGGGCAGCGGCAGCAGCGCAGGTCATCGAGGCTTTGACAGCCAGAAGGGGCTGTGGCAGGAGAGCAGGTCATTGAGGCTTTGACAGCCAGAAGAGGCAGTGGCAGCAGCGCAGGTTGTTGAGGCTTTGACAGACAGAAGAGACAGAGGTAGCAGCGCAGGTCATCAAGGCTTTGACAGCCAGAAGAGGCAGTGGAAGCAGCGCAGGTCGTCGAGGCTTTGACAGCCAGAAGAGGCCGTGGCAGCAGCGCAGGTTGTTGAGGCTTGACAGCCAGAAGGGGCTGTGGCAGCAGAGCAGGTCATCGAGGCTTTGACAGCCAGAAGGGGCAGCGGCAGCAGCGCAGGTCGTCGAGGCTTTGACAGCCAGAAGAGGCAGGGGCAGCAGCGCAAGTCGTTGAGGCTTTGACAGCCAGAATAGGCAGTGGCAGCAGCGCAGGTCGTTGAGGCTTCGACAGCCAGAAGGGGCTGCGGCAGCAGAGCAGGTTGTCGAGGCTTTGACAGCCAGAAGTGGCTGCTGCAGCAGCGCAGGTCATCGAGGCTTTGACAGCCAGAAGGGGCAGTGGCAGCATAGCAGGTCGTGGAGGCTTTGACAGCCAGAAGAGGCAGTGGCAGCAGCACACGACCTCAACTCAGTGACAGCCAGAAGGGGCTGTGGCAGCAGAGCAGGTCATCGAGGCTTTGACAGTGAGAAGGGTCTGCGGCAGCAGTGCTGGTCGTTGAGGCTTTGACAGCCAGAAGAGGCAGTGGCAGCAGCGCAGGTTGTTGAGGCTTTGACAGCCAGAAGGGGCTGTGGCAGCAGAGCAGGTCGTCGAGGCTGTCACAGCCAGAAGGGGCAGTGGTAGCAGAGCAGGTCATCGAGGCTTTGACAGCCAGGAGGGGCAGCGGCAGCAGCGCAGGTTGTTGAGGCTTTGACAGCCAGAAGAGGCAGTGGCAGCAGCGCAGGTCATTGGAGGCTTTGACAGCCAGAAGGGCTGCGGCATCAGAGTAGGTTGTCGAGGCTTTGAGAGCCAGAGGGGGCTGCGGCAGCAGGCAGGTCATCGATGCTTTGACAGCCAGAAGAGGCAGTGGCAGCAGCGCAGGTCGTTGAGGCTTTAGCAGCCAGAAGAGGCAGTGGCAGCAGCGCAGGTCATCGAGGCTTTGACAGCCGGAAGGGGCAGTGGCAGCATAGCAGGTCGTGGAGGCTTTGACAGCCAGAAGGGGTAGCGGCAGCAGCGCAGGTCGTCGAGGCTTTGACAGCCAGAAGAGGCAGTGGCAGCAGCGCAGGTCATTGAGGCTTTGACAGCCAGAAGGGGCTGCGGCAGCAGAGCAGGTCGTCGAGGCTTTGACAGCCAGAAGGGGCAGTGGTAGCAGAGCAGGTCATCGAGGCTTTGACAGTGAGAAGGGGCTGCGGCAGCAGCGCAGGTCATCGAGGCTTTTACAGCCAGAAGAGGCAGGGGCAGCAGCGCAAGTCGTTGAGGCTTTGACAGCCAGAATAGGCAGTGGCAGCAGCGCAGGTCGTGGAGGCTTTGACAGCCAGAAGAGGCAGTGGCAGCAGTGCAGGTTATTGAGGCTTTGACAGCCAGAAGAGGCAGTGGCAGCAGCGCAGGTTGTTGAGGCTTTGACAGCCAGAAGGGGCTGCGGCAGCAGAGAAGGTCATCGAGGCTTTGACAGCCAGAAGGGGCAGCAGCAGCAGCGCAGGTCGTTGAGGCTTTGATAGCCAGAAGAGGCAGCGGCAGCAGCGCAGGTTATTGAGGCTTTGACAGCCAGAAGAGGCAGTGGCAGCAGCGCAGGTTGTTGAGGCTTTGACAGCCAGAAGGGGCAGTGGCAGCAGCGCAGGTCATCGAGGCTTTGACAGCCAGAAGAGGCAGTGGAAGCAGCGCAGGTCATCGAGGCTTTGACAGCCAGAAGGGGCTGCGGCAGCAGTGCAGGTCTTTGAGGCTTTGACAGCCAGGAGGGGCAGCGGCAGCAGCGCAGATTGTTGAGGCTTTGACAGCCAGAAGAGGCTCCGGCAGCAGCACAGGTCATCGAGGCTTTAACCGACAGAATGGGCAGTCGCAGCATAGCAGGTCATCGATGCTTTGACAGCCAGGAGGGGCTGTGGCAGCATAGCAGGTCGTTGAGGCTTTGACAGCCAGAAGCGGCTGCGGCAGCAGAGCAGGTTGTCGAGGCTTTGACAACCAGAAGAGGCAGTGGCAGCAGCGCAGGTCATCGAGGCTTTGACAGCCAGAAGGGGCAGTGGCAGCAGCGCAGGTCGTTGAGGCTTCGACAGCCAGAAGGGGCTGCGGCAGCAGTGCAGGTTATTGAGGCTTTGACAGCCAGAAGAGGCAGTGGCAGCAGCGCAGGTTGTTGAGGCTTTGACAGCCAGAAGGGGCTGCGGCAGCAGAGAAGGTCATCGAGGCTTTGACAGCCAGAAGGGGCAGCCGCAGCAGCGCAGGTCGTTGAGGCTTTGATAGCCAGAAGAGGCAGCGGCAGCAGCGCAGGTTATTGAGGCTTTGACAGCCAGAAGAGGCAGTGGCAGCAGCGCAGGTTGTTGAGGCTTTGACAGCCAGAAGGGGCAGTGGCAGCAGCGCAGGTCATCGAGGCTTTGACAGCCAGAAGAGGCAGTGGAAGCAGCGCAGGTCATCGAGGCTTTGACAGCCAGAAGGGGCTGCGGCAGCAGTGCAGGTCTTTGAGGCTTTGACAGCCAGGAGGGGCAGCGGCAGCAGCGCAGATTGTTGAGGCTTTGACAGCCAGAAGAGGCTCCGGCAGCAGCACAGGTCATCGAGGCTTTAACCGACAGAATGGGCAGTCGCAGCATAGCAGGTCATCGATGCTTTGACAGCCAGGAGGGGCTGTGGCAGCATAGCAGGTCGTTGAGGCTTTGACAGCCAGAAGCGGCTGCGGCAGCAGAGCAGGTTGTCGAGGCTTTGACAACCAGAAGAGGCAGTGGCAGCAGCGCAGGTCATCGAGGCTTTGACAGCCAGAAGGGGCTGTGGCAGCAGAGCAGGTCATCGAGGCTTTGACAGCCAGAAGGGGCAGTGGCAGCAGCGCAGGTCGTTGAGGCTTCGACAGCCAGAAGGGGCTGCGGCAGCAAAGCAGGTTGTCGAGGCTTTGACAGCCAGAAGGGGCAGTGGCAGCATAGCAGGTCGTTGAGGCTTTGACAGCCAGAAGAGGCAGTGGCAGCAGCACACGTCGTCAACGCTTTGACAACCAGAAGGGGCAGTGGCAGCAGAGCAGGTCATCGAGGCTTTGACAGCCAGAAGGGGTAGCAGCAGCAGCGCATGTCGTTGAGGCTTTGACAGCCAGAAGAGGCAGCGGCAGCATCGCAGGTCGTTGAGGCTTTGACAGCCAGAAGAGGCAGTGGCAGCAGTGCTGGTCGTTGAGGCTTTGACAGCCAGAAGAGGCAGTGGCAGCAGCGCAGGTTGTTGAGGCTTTGACAGCCAGAAGGGGCTGTGGCAGCAGAGCAGGTCGTCGAGGCTGTCACAGCCAGAAGGGGCAGTGGTAGCAGAGCAGGTCATCGAGGCTTTGACAGCCAGGAGGGGCAGCGGCAGCAGCGCAGGTTGTTGAGGCTTTGACAGCCAGAAGAGGCAGTGGCAGCAGCGCAGGTCATTGAGGCTTTGACAGCCAGAAAGGGCTGCGGCAGCAGAGTAGGTTGTCGAGGCTTTGAGAGCCAGAGGGGGCTGCGGCAGCAGGCAGGTCATCGATGCTTTGACAGCCAGAAGAGGCAGTGGCAGCAGCGCAGGTCGTTGAGGCTTTAGCAGCCAGAAGAGGCAGTGGCAGCAGCGCAGGTCATCGAGGCTTTGACAGCCGGAAGGGGCAGTGGCAGCATAGCAGGTCGTGGAGGCTTTGACAGCCAGAAGAGGCAGTGGCAGCAGCACACGTCGTCAACGCTTTGACAACCAGAAGGGGCAGTGGCAGCAGAGCAGGTCATCGAGGCTTTGACAGCCAGAAGGGGTAGCGGCAGCAGCGCAGGTCGTTGAGGCTTTGACAGCCAGAAGAGGCAGTGGCAGCAGTGCTGGTCGTTGAGGCTTTGACAGCCAGAAGAGGCAGTGGCAGCAGCGCAGGTTGTTGAGGCTTTGACAGCCAGAAGGGGCTGTGGCAGCAGAGCAGGTCGTCGAGGCTTTCACAGCCAGAAGGGGCAGTGGTAGCAGAGCAGGTCATCGAGGCTTTGACAGCCAGGAGGGGCAGCGGCAGCAGCGCAGGTTGTTGAGGCTTTGACAGCCAGAAGAGGCAGTGGCAGCAGCGCAGGTCATTGAGGCTTTGACAGCCAGAAAGGGCTGCGGCAGCAGAGTAGGTTGTCGAGGCTTTGAGAGGCAGAGGGGGCTGCGGCAGCAGGCAGGTAATCGATGCTTTGACAGCCAGAAGAGGCAGTGGCAGCAGCGCAGGTCGTTGAGGCTTTAGCAGCCAGAAGAGGCAGTGGCAGCAGCGCAGGTCATTGAGGCTTTGACAGCCAGAAGAGGCAGTGGCAGCAGCGCAGGTCGTTGAGGCTTTAGCAGCCAGAAGAGGCAGTGGCAGCAGCGCAGGTCGTTGAGGCTTTAGCAGCCAGAAGAGGCAGTGGCAGCAGCGCAGGTCATCGAGGCTTTGACAGCTAGATTGGGCAGCGGCAGCAGCACAGGTGGTCTAACTGGCAGAGCCTAAGTGACACCAGATAAAGTCGAGCAACATTTATGGACTCAAGCCTGATATTCACCTGAGAAGGTGGTGCCTTGTTTTGACCCCTGGCTTGTTGTGATCCATGGAAGTTATAGAGCTGCCCCCCCCCTTATCAGACAGTAAATATCACGTATTTCATAAGCATATAATGTCATGGTTTTACAGTTGGACTGTGAGCTCAGTTTCTAAAAAGCACCTCTTGAACAGGTTATTCTGGGATTGATTCAGGTTGGCCCCCAAAGCAGCTCACTTCAGTTCAATGGTCTCCACCAAGAAGCACCCAGCCACGCATGACCCCTCCTGCCCCTTCTCATCTCAATCTGGCCACAGCAGAAGCTAGGCTGGTGCTTCCATTTGGAACTATGTAGTTCTCCGCTGGTTTCTGGAGGGCCTGGACCCCGCATTCCAACCTCTAGGGCTGGGCATGGCCCTCCCAATCTAATTCGCCTCTCCTCTCACAGTCAGGTACATTTTGGTGGGAAAGGGAAGGAAGGAGCATGATCTGGTTGGAATCATGCTGAACCAAACACATTGTAAGCTGGGTCTGAACTGCAGAGGGTTTGGACTTGGCTCATAAACAGCATGAGATGAGGCTTGAAACTGGAGAAATCTCTTCCGTTCAAAGACTTAGTGGCCTCAATAAATAAATGAAAACAGCTTATTTGGATGAGCAAAGGATTATTATTATTATTATTATTATGTCTCCCCACCCCAATACATAGCGGAACAAAGAGAAAAAATGATATATAATAAACCAGCAGACACACAAAAATCAATCTTTAAAGCAGGCAAAAATAAATACATATGAACTTATACCAGCTTTAAGATGTTTCCAATAGTACATATAAAAATGTAATTTTAAGAAAAATCTTAGCCTTCCAAAGGTGAAGACTTGTCCATCCATTAACGGAATACCTGTATGATTGCTGCCTGCAGTAACTTGCGCGCTAGGTCTCGGACGTGTCCGTATCGGAGTCGGACATCCCCTAAGTTGGAGCAAAGCCACTGTAAGTGCATCTTTTATTATGTATACATTTATCTTCTATCAAAAAAAACATTGTCCATATATATTAGACATGATAGAAGTGAATGCAGCTGAAGTTGTACAATTAAATAAAAATGTGTAAATGCTAAAGAACATTTGACAGTTAAATTGCGAGGAATAAAGAAACCATTAGAAACATTAGAACAGGCATTCCCTGTTTCCAGTTCCTACCTCCAAGTAAAACGCCATGCCGATGGCTCTCTTCTTATTGCTTGGACAGCACATATATTCCCGTGCCAATCGGGCAATCCTCTTGTACTGTTCTTTCGAGGATGTGTACAAGGTCCTGAAACATAAGAGTAAGAAACAAAGGATTCACAAGCCTGAAGCTGGCAGGAAGAACTGCTCAGCGTTCCTGCACAACAACCACCACTACCAGGTTACTTGAACGCTGAGCAGAGCCTCCCACCTGCATTCGCTCCATAAGACGCACACACATTTCCCCTTACTTTTTAGGAGGGGAAAACTGCGTCTTATAGAATGGACAATATGGTACATTTTCTGAAATAAATAAGAAGTTTATCCCCATTTCCCCAGAAAGCAGGCCTTGCTCTTCATGCCTCACCTGCCAGTCCTTTTCACCTTCTTACCTTGCCAGAAGACGAATGCCTTGGAAAAAGCTTTCTGGACTTGACAGCATATCCCAGCAGCTTTGCAACTCCAAAATCTCAAAATCGTCAAGGTATTCAACACGCCCAATCAGTTGTTTCAGGGCCTGCACAGCGATCCTGAGTCAAGTGAAGGAATTAAGAATATTATATTTTTAAAATTTGTATACTGCCCTTCACCTGTAGATCTCCGGGCAGTTCACAACATAAAAATGCAAGTTAAAAAGCACAAAATACAGAATAAAAAACCAAAGCAAACCAATAACTCCTCTCCCTCCAACAAACACAGTTGAAAGGGCATAAGAGGTTAATCAGCCAATGGCCTGATTGAAGAGGACCATTTTTGCCTGGCATCTAAAGGCACCAGGCAAGCCTCCCTGGGGAGAGCAACTCACTAATGGGGAGCCACCACAGAAAAGGCCCCTTCTTGTGTGGAGGAGGCACGTGAAGAGGGGCTTCCGATGATGAGCACAAGGTCTGGGTAGGTTCATCTGGGGAGTTTTAGGTCCTTGACATCTTGCAGTCCAACCCCAACCATCACCCCCTGCAGCCTCCCCATGTTTCCAGCACAAGCGGCAACCTTTTGGCTCTGATGGAGACTTAAGGTTCCATGACACGTGAGTCCCACCACACCCAAATCAGCCCATCGTGCGGGAGAGTCTCCAGCATCCTCTCCCATCCTAGTGTCCTTCAGATGTTTTGGGCTACAATAACTCCCATCTTCAGCCCAGTTGTGCTGGCTGGGGCTGGTGGGAGTTGTGGTCCAAAGCGACTGAAGAGCACAGGGGTTGGGGAAGCCTGGGTCTCCTAGCTATCTAACCTAAGCAGAACCTCCATGTCCAAATGAAGCCTATCTCTTGGGGGAGGGCTGAGCCATCACTGCTATGGGTCAGAGAGAGAAGGGAGGGCCCCCCCCAATGCATTAGCAGGTCCCTCACGTCAGCGGATCGAGATGCGAAGAGGGCTCCGGGATTAGACTTGTCGCTCTCGAACCTCTTCTTCTCGCCTCATGGACAAAACAGATCTGAGTGCTAAGTGCAAACAGCAGGTGGTGAACTTGCTCTTCAGGATACCTGCAGCCTCAGGGAACGACAGGATATGACACAGAGCGTTGGTAGCCTGGAGGGACAAGGAGAGGAGAACGGCATTCAGCAGAGGTCATCGTCAGATCAAGATCTCAGACTCAGACGCGGCTCAGAGCCCCGGTCCATCTCACTCAGTGTTGTCTACACTGACTAGCAGTGGCTGTCCAGGGTTTCAGGCGAGGGACTCCCCGACATGGAGATGCTGGGGCCCTTCTGCATACAAAGCAGGTGCTCACAGGATGGACCACTTATTAAGATGCACCCCCCTCCCAGCAAGAAGCCCCCAGCCCCATCCAGCTCCCATTCAAAACAATCCAGGAGAGAGAAACTGAGTGGCTTCGTACCGCCATTGGCATTTGAGAAGTGCTGCATCGCCTGGAAGGGACTTCCGCTTTGGGGTCTTCATCCTGCAGCCTTTTCAGGAGGGGTCTCAGCAGCTTGACGCTGGAATACGGATCGGCGACCAACGCCTTCCAGATCACTGCGGTACTTCTGCAATTTTTCAAAACAGAATTTTTCATTTTTCCTTTTCTTAAAAAAAGTCAGGCCTTTGATATTTTCTTTATATTGCACATACATTAGCAAAGAAAGAAACCACAACTTGGAGCACAATTTTTTGCAAGTACGAAATTCAATATAAATAAATATAAATTAAGAAACCCCTTAAATCTAGCCCTCCCCATTTTCACATCACAAAAACTTACTCATCACACTCCTTTGAGCAGTCCAACAGGCTGTCTACGACCGGCTGCAGGCGCTTGGTGGCTAGGCTGACAATAGCCGAAAGCGTCACATCCTTAGTGCGGGTGTCGGGGATCCGGTGGAGATGGTTGTAAATCTCCTTCACAACCATAGGCAGCTGGAAGAAGACCAGGATGAGAAAGTGTGGTGAACCTGTTTCTATTTTGCTTAATGTATGTAGGGTTTGGTGTCAGCGTTACTTGTGCCGGTTCTCTGCTGTTCACTTGTGGTTTTTTAATAATAATTTTTATCGATTTACAACACAGATATACAATTTTATCCAATTTTTAACAAATAAATTCTCTCTTTTTGGACTTCCTTCAGCTTCTCTGACAATCATCCATCTTTACCTCTTAATTACGCATTCCTTCTCCTTAGTATTGTCATTAGTCTTCCCTCCCACTTCTATTATTTTTATAACAATACATCTCAAATTTCACAGTGCTTCTTGAAATACAGTGGTGCCTCGCAAGACGAAATTAATCCGTTCCGCGAGTCTTTTCGTCTTGCGGTTTTTTCGTCTTGCGAAGCACGGCTATTAGCGGCTTAGCGGCTTTAAGAAAAAGGAAACAAACTCGCAAGAACTCGCAAGACGTTTCGTCTTGCGAAGCAAGCCCATAGGGAAATTCGTCTTGCGGAACGACTCAAAAAACGGAAAACTCTTTCGTCTAGTGAGTTTTTCGTCTTGCGAGGCATTCGTCTTGCGGGGCACCACTGTATCACTAACGTTGTTTGCACATCACATGTATTTTTCAGATATTCTACAAATTTCCCCCGTCCGATGAACTTTTGGTCCTTAAGATATCTAATTTTCCCAGTTAGCTTGTCCAATTCTGCATAGTCTGTCAGTTTCAGTCTCCAATCTTCAATCGTCAGCATTTCCTCTTGTTTCCATTTCTGGGCCAGTAAAATCCTTGCAGCTGTAACTGCATATTGGAAGAGTTTACAGTCTTTTCTTCTTATCTCGTTTCCTGTAATCCCTAAAAGAAAAGCCTCTGGTTTCTTTACAAACGTATATTTTAATATCTTTTTCAATTCATTATATATCATCTCCCAGAAACTTTTCACTTTCTTACAATCCCACCACATATGATAAAACGTTCCTTCTTTTTCTTTACATTTCCAACACTTATTACACATCTTAAACATTTTTGCCAATTTTACTGGTGTTATATACCATCTATAAAACATTTTCATCACATTTTCCTTTAACGCCGTGCATGCAGTAAATTTTAAGTTTTCTTTCCATAGTTTTTCCCAATCATCAAATTGTATATTATAACCGAAATCTCTGGCCCATTGTATCATTACCGATTTCACTTTTTCATCTTTCGTATGCCATTCCAAAAATATCTTATACATTTTTGACAGAATTTTACAATCATTGTTTATTATGTCGATTTGAAACTTAGAATCTTTTTCTGCATAACCGCTTTCTTTAAAATCTTTTTAAACATTTCATTCACCTGAAAATAATGCAACCAATCATAAACATATTCTTTAACTTGTTCATATGGTTTTAATTTCCATTTTCCTCCTTCTTTAATTATCAGTTCACCATATGTAATCCATTTACCTCTCATATTAATTTTCTTTACACTCATAACTTCTAACGGAGATAACCAGTGTGGAACTCTTGGTTCTAATAGGTTTTTATACCTATCCCATATTTCTATTAACGCACTCCGGAAGATGTGGTTCCCAAAGCCTTTGTGAATTTTCTTCTTCCCACACCATAAGTACGCGTGCCATCCAAATCTGTTATCAAAGCCTTCTAAGTCCAGTGACTCTTTATTTTCTAATTTTATCCATTCTTTCAACCAGCAAAGACATGCTGCTTCATAATATAACTTCAGGTCTGGCAGGGCAAAACCTCCTCTTTCCTTCTCATCTGTTAATAGCTTAAATTTAATTCTCGGCTTTTGCCCTGCCAGATATACCTTGAGATCACTCTTTGCCACTCTTTAAAAATCGTTACCCCCTTTATTATGGGGATAGTCTGAAACAAGAATAACATCTTTGGAAGGACGCTCATCTTTATCGTAGAAATTCTGCCCCAAAAGATAGTTTCATTCTACCCCACACCTCCAGATCTTTCCTTATTCCGTTCCAAACCAGTATGTAATTGTTCTGATACAAATCAATGTTTTTAGGAGTTAACCAAATTCCTAAATATTTTACCTTTTTCACCACCTCTATCTCTGTTTGTTGTTGCATTATTATTATTTTTTTTAAAAATTATATTTATTACTTTTCCAACAATTTAAACACTACAAAAACAATACAATGCAAAAACACTACCTAACATTGACACATTAAACACATTGAACTAACAAAACAAAACAAAAACAGTAAAATAAATCAAACAATTTCATTATCCCATCTTTCATTCACTAATTTCCACAACCTCCTCGCACCTCCCTTTTGTATTCCACTTCTGTTAATTGTTTCAGCAATTCCTTTCCATCTTCCTCTGTTTTCTATCCTATAATTATCTTAACACATTCTAACCTTATTTTTTCCTTTAATACTCTATTAATCTATTTATACTTAATTCCTTATATCATTTCTACTAAAGCCATATATCAGGGGTTCAGGAGCAGAGGCACAGGAAAGGGAGGAAATAGAGAGCGAGGGGGAGGAGTCCGAAGGAAATGTTAGCGATGACAGCGGTCCGAGGTCTCTGAGTCTTTCCAGCGAATCGGAAGATTCACAGAAAGGGGCTCCCTTGGTCAGAGCAAGGGGGTGCCGAGGGGACACCCCAGGAAGAAGGGGCCAGAGGGGACTCAGAGAGCAGCAGTTGGAAATCAGGACCAGCGTCCACACCAGAGTGCAGTAGGGGGAGGGTCCCAGGCATCGGGATCAGGCGGCGCACTGCCAGTGGGAGGACATGAGTCAGGATTGGCCACGCCTCCATCGGGGAGCGAGGAACCGGTCGAGAGGAAGGTTGAAGGCTGGGCGCGCGCGCCAAGTTCAAATGTACAGGAGGGCGGCGCAGTTGGCAGCCCGGATAGGGAGCCAGGTCCCAAAGCCCGCCGAAAAGATGGGGAGGAGTCAGGTGGGTCAGCGTCAGAAGAATCCAGGAAGGAAGGGACCCGGGGGTAGCAGGACCCAGAGGAGAAAGGAGAGACGTAAGAGGTGGAGTAAGGCTAGAATCTTAAACTGGTGTACAGGGCGGAGACTCAGATGGAGCTTCGCCGATCTAACCCCTAGACGTAGAGCTGGGGCGCTGCGGCTTGAAAATGGAAACTGTACTTCAATAAAGACTTTTGTACATTACTGCCGGCTAGCGTTGGTCCTCTGTGAGCTGGGACCTGGAGCCAGCTCTGACAGTAAGCTCCATCTCCTAAAGTTTTGCACCAAAAACCTCGTAACGTGAGTGGACGCAGCGAGGGAGAAGATTGGTGCTTCGCGAGCTCACAAAAGTCAGGCAAGATGACTACAGAACAGCAACTAGCAGCCCTGCAAAATGCAGTGACACAACTCAACGCGGAGGTACTCGCATCCAGGAAAAGGGAAGAGGAAGCGGCTGCCGCCTGCAGGGATCTCCAAGCCAGGTTGGAAGTGCTTGCTAAGCAGGGGCAACCGGGACCCAAATCAGAGGGGATTGGGCTGGGGAAAGAGGAGGCAGCCTGGTATCTCATTTCGATGGGAATTTGCAGCAGTACCCTAACTTCCGAGCAGACGTGCTGTTTGCGCTGGAACTGCTGGATAAAGACTTTAGAGATGAGCAAGAGAAGGTGGGGTTTATCTTGTCCCATTTGCATGGGGAAGCTAAAGCGTGGCTGCGCAATCTGTGGAGAGATAAGGATCCGGCGCTCCAAAATGCGGATGCATTCATTAAAGCGATGGATTCGTGTTTTTATCAAATATAGACATTGATATCGCCAGAAAAGACATACATGGGCTCAAACAAGGCAGAGCCAGTGTAAGGCAGTACCATTCCCGCTTTTTGCATTAGTCCATGCGCTGGGATGGGAGAAGGATTCTGCCCCAGCCAGAGACCTTTTTGGGAAGGCTTGAATGCAAATGTGAAAGATGAGATTGCAAGGGGAGAGACCAAAGAGCACTCAGGAGGTTGTCCGGCGGGCGCTGCAAATGGGGGTGCGTCTGGAAGAACGGCCCAGGAACAGAGAAGAAGGACGTTGGGGACGTATGCCAGGGAGAGCACCAACCCACTTTCCCAAGGATGCAGCGCGTGTGCAATCCCCACCTCCGCACGGAGGGGGCGAGCAACCGATGGAGCTTGGAGGCGCCAGGGCTCAGTCAGCAACCAGAGCCCTAACACCGGGAGCAGGAAGTGCTACATCTGCGACAGTGCTCAGCACATGGCGAAAGAGTGTCCCCAGAGGCTCCACAAGCACACTGCAGCCTCAGCAACAGTAACCGACGCAACTCAGCAACGAGAACCACAGCAGGGAAACGACAGAGTCTGGTTGGAGGAAGAGGCACTGGGGCCCAGCCAGACAAGTCAATGAAGCCGTCCCCAGAGATTTTGCAGCCCACAGACCCCCTCCCGCCCAAACCAGTGGTGCAGCTCACAGCATCGCTCCAACTACCCAATGGACTCACTATGGAAGTGCCGATTACCATTGACTCTGGTAGTAACGCAGACTTCATAGGACTGGATTTCATTCAAGAGCACAACATAGCACTCCTGCCAGCCACGCTGCCTCTGAAAGTTGTCACGGTGGATGGCAGGGAATTGCTGGGGGCAGGTGGTGCAGCAAACGCCTCCGATGGTGATGCAAATTGGGAATCACCGAGAAGTCATCAGCTTCAATGTCACCCAACTGTCGGACACGCCTATAGTATTAGGCATGAGTTGGCTGCACAGGCACAGCCCAGCATTGGCGTGGTACCAGCGACAACTGACCTTCGGCTCCTCATACTGTGCGGAACATTGCATTCTGCCTAGCCCGGAAGGGGAAGAGGATGACCCGCAGCTACAATTAGGCACGCTGCAAGCAGTGCCACTCAAATACGCAGCGTTTTTGGAGGTTTTCTGCGAGAAGGAAGCGGACAAGCTACCTCCCCACAGGTCCTATGACTGCAAGATTGACCTCCTGCCAGGGCGCGCTGCCAACCGGGAAACTGTATTCCATGTCTGAAGCCGAGCTGCAGGAACTCAGGGAGTTCATAGACCTCAACTTGAAGCGCGGTTTCATCCAGGAGTCGAAGGCAGTGGGGGCAGTCCTGTATTCTTTGTGAAGAAGAAGGACACGCCCCAAAAAGGCTTGTGGTGGACTATAGAATTTTGAACTCGAAAACCAAGCCCACAGCCTTTCCCATGCCCAAGATAGATGACCTGCTCGCAACGGTGAGGAAAGGACGCGTTTTCACAAAGTTGGATCTGCGAGGGCGTACAACCTGATTCGCATACGGGAGGGCGACGAATGGAAGACTGCCATGTTCACGCCCCTGGGCACCTATGAATACAGAGTTATGCCCTTTGGATTACAAAATGGCTCCCACTGTTTTCAAGCCTTCATGCATCACGTATTGGCGGGTCTCCTCTACAAGAAATGCGTCTGCTTCCTGGACGACATCCTGATATTTTCAGAATCAGAGGAGACCCACGAGGGAGACGTCAAGGAAGTTCTGCAGAGACTGCAGGAGCACAGGCTGTACGCCAAGCTGGAGAAGTGCCAGTTCGACATGAAGGAGGTAGATTTCCTGGGCTACAAGTTGTCGGACAAGGGGCTCGCCATGGACAGCGCCAAGGTTCGCTCAGTGTTGGACTGGAAGAGCCCGCGCAATCGGAAGGAGGTCCAGCGGTTTGTCGGTTTCGCCAACTTTTACCGCAAGTTCATCAAGGGGTTCGCGATGCAGACGGCGGCCATTACCGACACGCTCAGCTCCAAGAAGAAGAAGTTCATCTGGACGGAGCAAGCGGAGCAGTCCTTTCAGAAACTCAAGCGTCTCTTCTCGTCCGAAGAGCAGCTACTGCATGTGAATCCCAGCAGACCGATGAGGGTTGAAACGGACGCCTCAGACAGAGCCGTGGGAGCAGTACTGTTGCAGCAAGACCCGCATGGGGACTGGAGACCGTGTGCCTTCTACTCCAGGAAGCTCAGCAAGTCAGAGCAGAACTACACCATCTGGGACAGGGGTTGCTGGCCATTCATGCAGCATTCAAGGCGTGGCGGCACTTCCTCATTGGAGCCAAACACACAGTGCAGGTCCGCACGGACCATAAAAACCTGGAGTACTGGCGCACGGCAAGGTTCCTGAACCAGAGGCACATACGATGGGCGGAGTTCTTTGCGGATTTCGACTTCAGGATAGAGTACATCCCAGGCGACAACAACATCATGGCGGATGCACTGTCCAGAAAGCCGCAATACCTCGAGGAGGCGGCACCAGCAGCGGCCAAGCACATTTTCGCACCGAAGCGTGGGCGTGCGCTTCAGCAACCGTGGACCTGGATGCTGTACGTCGAGCACTGCAGGAGGACCCCTTCGCGCAAGCAAAGATGGCAGAGGTGCAAAGGGGCACGGCGGAGGACGACGAGTTCCAGATACTCGACGGATTGCTCATCCGCATAGCGGCCCTCTACGAACCGGGAGACGACCTCCGCGCGAAAGTACTGCAGCAGTTGCACGACGCACCCACCGCCGGGCACTTTGGCAAAGAGAAGACGGTAGAATTAGTAGCCAGAGATTTTGGTGGCCCAAGATGCGGGGGAAGTCGCGGATTACGTCTCGAGGTGCGACACCTGCCAAAGGGCCAAGTCAGTGCACAAACCGCCGGCGGGACTGCTCGAACCGCTGCAGACACCGCTCGAACCGTGGGAGAGGGTGGCCCTGGACTTTGTCACGGATCTACCCAGCTCGAGGGGCAAGACGGCAGTGCTAGTGGTGGTGGACATGTTCACCAAAATGGCCCACTTCATTCCGTGCGCGAAGGTGGCCACGGCGGAACAGACCGCCAAACTGTTCATAGACCACGTGTTCAGGGTTCACGGTCTGCCACGGTCTATCCTGTCCGACCGGGGCGACAGTTCATCTCGAACTTCTGGCAGAAGCTGATGGGTTTCCTGAAGGTCAAGATCAACCTAGCGTCGGCGAGACACCCGCAGACGAGACGGACAAGCGGAGCGAGTCAACGCCATCATGCAGCAGTACCTGCGATGCTACGCAAATCAGCAGCCGGCAACATGGGTGGACTACCTGCCGCTCGCTGAGTTCGCCTACAACAACACGAAGCACGTGTCCACGGGGGTGACACCGTTCTTCGCCAACAACGGGAGGCATCCCAGAACCTTCCCGGGATTAGCGAGAGCGGGGAGGGGAGCCACAGGCAGCGGAAGCCTTAGCATCAGAGTTGCAGGAGGTTCACGAACAGCTTCGGAGGCAGTTAGAACTAGCAAAGCACGCATACAAACTGCAGGCTGACAAGCACAGAAGGGTTGGGGAAGACATACAGGTGGGAGACTGGGTTTGGTTAGCAGCCCAGGCAGTGCCGGCCAGATCGTTAGCGAAGAAGAAGCTAGGGCATAAGCAGCTAGGACCCTACCAAGTCGAGGCACAGGTCAATCCAGTGGCCTTCCGGTTGACACTGCCGGAGGGATCCAGAATGCACCCAGTTTTCCATAGATCAGTGCTCACGCCCTACAAAGCACCTCATAGATTTCAGGAGCCAGGAACGGCACCAGACCCGTTCAGGGAAACGCCCACAAGGGGGTCGCCAAGGCGGGAACCCGTCAACGAAGTCACAGAGATTTTAGACTCGAGATGGGGGAAGAGGGAGTAGAATATCTTCTCGCCAGAGAAGGTACCCGGCCAGCGCCAACAGTTGGGTGCCAGACCATGCCTTGGACGAACCTTTTCTCAAGGACGAGTTTCATGCCCTTTTCCCACACAGGCCCATGCCAGCCGAGTATTTCGACGACTGGCTTTTCACACCCACATTTTCAGCTAGCACATTCCAGGGGTTCACCTCGGACGAGGAACCGGCACTAGAAACACGTTCCCCGGAGGGATCACCCTCGGGGTCTGCCTCAGACCGTTCCTATTGGTGGGACAATCAACCAGAGGAGCAGTGGCGCAGGAAGTGGCTGGGGGGTCCTTGGCAGGCAACGTCCCCGGAGGAGACCGGGGGAGAGACGGACATGGACGTGTTGGGGGGGACCTTGGGTTCGAGCACGGCGGCAAAGAGATGGAAGCAGAGGAAGTGAGGTCGGCGAGCACGGAGGGCGAGCCGGACTTATCCGGCTGGATGCACGCCACGGGGACGAACTGTATCCGGCACTCAACCCCACAACGACGGAGCACGCAGTACCCACACGTGAAGGAGGGGCGGGGGGACGGGGGGGCTTCTCGGGGGGGATGGATGTCAGGGGTTCAGGAGCAGAGGCACAGGAAAGGGAGGAAATAGAGAGCGAGGGGAGGAGTCCGAAGGAAATGTTAGCGATGACAGCGGTCCGAGGTCTCTGAGTCTTTCCAGCGAATCGGAAGATTCACAGAAAGGGGCTCCCTTGGTCAGAGCAAGGGGGTGCCGAGGGGACACCCCAGGAAGAAGGGGCCAGAGGGGACTCAGAGAGCAGCAGTTGGAAATCAGGACCAGCGTCCACACCAGAGTGCAGTAGGGGGGAGGGTCCCAGGCATCGGGATCAGGCGGCGCACTGCCAGTGGGAGGACATGAGTCAGGATTGGCCACGCCTCCATCGGGGAGCGAGGAAACGGTCGAGAGGAAGGTTGAAGGCTGGGCGCGCGCGCAAAGTTCAAATGTACAGGAGGGCGGCGCAGTTGGCAGCCCGGATAGGGAGCCAGGTCCCAAAGCCCGCCGAAAAGAGGGGGAGGAGTCAGGGTGGTCAGCGTCAGAAGAATCCAGGAAGGAAGGGACCCCGGGGGGTAGCAGGACCCAGAGGAGAAAGGAGAGACGTAAGAGGTGGAGTAAGGCTAGAATCTTAAACTGGTGTACAGGGGCGGAGACTCAGATGGAGCTTCGCCGATCTAACCCCTAGACGTAGAGCTGGGGCGCTGCGGCTTGAAAATGGAAACTGTACTTCAATAAAGACTTTTGTACATTACTGCCGGCTAGCGTTGGTCCTCTGTGAGCTGGGACCTGGAGCCAGCTCTGACACCATATAACTTCATTCCAACATTTTTCTAACATTCATTAATTTTACAGTATTTCTGTAAATAGTCTTTAAACTTTTTCCAATCTTCTTCCACCAACTCTTCTCCCTGGTCTCGGATTCTGCCAGTCATTTCCGCCAATTCCATATAATCCATCAACTTCATCTGCCATTCTTCCTGGGTGGGTAAATCTTGTGTCTTCCAATACTTCGCGATTGTTGTTGCACTATTTCTATCATACTTTGCTCCATATTTTTTGCAATTATTTTAGTTTTCTTATTTAATTTGAACCCTGCCACTTTCCCAAATTGTTCAATCTCCTCTAATAGTTCTTTTACACTTTCTATTGGTTCTTCAATCGTTATTACCAGATCGTCTGCAAAGGCTTTAACTTTATATTCATTCTGGCCAACTGTTATCCCTTTTATTAATTTATTTTGTCTAATCGCTTTAAGAAAGACCTCCAGGACCATTATAAACAGCAATGGCGAAAGCAGACATCCCTGCCTAGTTCCTTTAGATATTTTAATATCTTCCGTAGTCACATTATTTACAATCAACTTAGCTCTCTGTTCTGTATATATTGCCTTTATCCCATTGAAAACTCTTTCCCCACCTCCAAATTCTCCAGATTTTTCAACATAAAGTCCCATGCTATGTTGTCAAAGGCCTTTTCTGCATCCACAAACATAAGAATAGCTTGTTTCTCATTCCTGGCAGTCAGATATTCCAAAATATTAATTATGTTCCTTACATTATCCTTCATCTGTCTACCTGGAAGGAAACCTGTTTGATCCTTATGAATAGTTTCTAATAATATCTTTTTCATTCTTCTTGCTAAGATCCCTGCAAAAATTTTGTAGTCTGTATTCAACAATGAAATAGGCCTATAGTTTTTAACTTGGGTTAAATCCGAGTCCTGTTTTGGGATAAGTGTAATGAATGCTTCTTTCCACGTTTCCGGGATGTCTCTTTCCTTTAAAATATTATTCATAACTTCTTTTAAAGGTATCATCAGAAAGCAACAACAGCAGCAAGAATACTCATCGCAAAGTATTGGAAGACACAAGAACTTCCCACGCTGGAGGAATGGCAGATGAAACTTATGGACTATATGGAATTGGCGGAAATGACTGGTAGAATCCGTGACCAGGGAGAAGAGTCGATGGAGGAAGACTGGAAGAAATTCAAAGACTATCTTCAGAAACACTGCAAAATTAAGGAATGTTAGAGTGATGTTGGACTGAAAATAAGTGGTTTCCAGCTGCACAGGTTAAAGTTAAGGATAGATTAAGATTAAAGATTAAGATTAAAGAAATTTAAAGAAATGGAAATTTGATTTTAAAAGGAAAACTTTAAAGTTACAGGATATTAAGATCAAGGATTAGGTTTAAAAAGTTGAAGTTATATATTTTAACATTTTATTAAATTAAAGATTGGGATTATAAAAGTGGAAAAGAAACTGCTGGATAAATAATGTGGATTGGAATACAAAAGAGGGAGGTATGAGGAAGTCCAGAAAATAAGTAACTTAAAATTGGAAATGGAAAAGAGAGTTTGTTATTAATTGTTTTGTGTTTATATTGTTAAGTTTTGTATTGTTTTTTGTGTGTGTTGTTTTTCTTTTTTGTTTGTTTAAAACCTTAATAAAAAATTATTAAAAAAATAAAAATAAAATAAAGGTATCATCAGAACATCTTTTAACTCTTTATAATAACCTGATGTAAATCCATCTGGTCCTGGGGCCTTTCCCCTCTTCAATTCCTTTATAATCTCTTTTATCTCATCTGTTTCGATTAGGGCATTCAGTTGGTCTTTTTTATCTGCCGGGATCTTTTGCACCTTTTTCCCTTTTAAAAATCTCTCAATTTTCCTCATATTATTCCTTTCTTTATTTTTATATAGTTGTCTGTAAAAGTCCAAGAATCCTTTTCTAATTTCTTTCGGATTATCTATCTCTTCGCCATTCACAATGATTCTGTTAATTGTGTTCTGCTCCTTTCTTTTTTTGATTTGCCACGCAAGCCATTTGCCTGATTTGTTAGCGAATTCAAAGTTTCTCTGTCTTAACTTTTTAATATTCCATTCCACTTCTTTGTTTATTATCATTGCAAATTGTGATTGCAAGGTCTTAATTTCTTGTTTTATTTTGGAGTTATTTGGTTTTCTAATAAATTTTTGTTCATTGTCCATTATCTGCTTTAAAATTTCCTTTCCCCCCTTTTCTCTGTTTTTATTCTTCAATGAATTCTGCTGGATAAAAAAACCTTGCATCACAGCCTTGCTTGCGTCCCATACTACGCTCATCTTTGTACCCTTGTTGCAATTATCAACAAAGTATTCAGCTAGTTTCTTTTGTGCTTTTCCTACAATTTACTGGTCTTCCAAAAGATAACCCTTAATTTTCCATCTAAATGTTCTTTCTTCAAAGCCTTTTAGTTCCAATTTTATTGGATTATGATCTGAGATTACTTTAGATTGTATTTCAACTTGTAGTATTCTTGGAGTCAGTTCATTCGAAACCCATATTTGATCTATTCTTGACATTGACTGGTTCGATTCAGAAAATATGTAAATTGTTTCTCCACTTGTGTTCCTTTGGTGGTGAGAGAGGTTGGGGTTGGCCTAGGGTGTGGTTGTTTGTTTGTGATTGGCTGTGGTGATCTTTGTTTTCGTGTGAGAGTGGGGTGGGTGGGTGTTTTGGATCAGGTTAGCCATATTGATTTGTATGCTGTTGGTGGATTATTGTCATTGTCTTGTTGGGCTGTGTATTTGATAAAGGGGAGCCATACCAGGGTGAAGGTGTCTTCTTCTATTTGTCCCCGTGCCAGTTTACTGGTTAATTTTTCTAGTAGGGCTGTTTCCCATACTATTTGGTACCATTGGTCCAGGCTTACTCCTGACAAGTCTCTCCAGTGTCTGGTTATGGTGTTTCTGGCTGCTGAAAGTAGGTGGGTTATGAGTTCTTTGTGGTGTAAGTGGGCATTGTTGTCTTGGAAGATGTTTAGTAGGGCCAATTCTGGGGTGATGTCTAATACTTGCTTAGTTATTTTACATATTTCTCGTATGGCTGTTGTCCAGAATAGTTGGATTTTGGGGCACTCCCACCACATGTGGAGGTATGTGCCTGTGGAGGTGCACCCTCTCCAGCATTTTGGTGAGGTTCCTGGGCATATTAGCGCTAGTTTTCTTGGTCTTAGGTACCACCTGTAGGTGGGTTTCAGAGTGAGTTCTTTTCATTGATATGGATTTAAAGGGGGGTTTAGATCACATTCTGATCCATTGAGTGGGGTTAATCTCATAGCCTATGTCATTCTCCCATTGTTTTTTGATTGCGTCTAGGGGGTTTGTGGGATTTTGGAGTAGTATTTTGTATATTGCGGATACCATCCCTTTACTGTTTCCCTTTGTTGTTAGGAGGAGGTTTTCAAAGGTTATCAGGGGCCTAGTTGCTGCTGATTTTATTGTTGGATTGTTTAAGAGGGCATGTAATTGGTGTTGTGTTAACCAGGGCATTTGGGTGTCTTCTAGTTTGTCTTGTATTTCTTGTGTTGACAAAGGTTTGTTATTTTTACAGAAGTCTATTGGGCGATATAAGCCTTTGGTTTGCCAGGTTTTTATCTGGAGGTTTTGTGCTGCATGGTGGAATAATGGGTGGTAGGGCAGGGGATTAGTGGGGATGGGGTTGGTATTTTCAATTATGTCCCTCTCTAGGTGTACCCATTGTTTTGTCTCATCTTCTAGTATATATGGGATTATATGGAGTATTTGGCTGGCAATGTAATATGCTTCCATGTTGGGGATTCCCCATCCTCCTTCTGAGGTGGGGAGGTGCAGGTATTTGGGGCTTATTTTTGGTTTTTTATGTGAGAAGATAAAAGAGTGTAGTTTTCTCTGCCATCTGCGGAGTAGTGTTGGGGGAATCCAGATTGGGAGGGTTTGGAATAAGTAGGTTAGTTTTGGGAGGGTGATCATTTTGATCATAGCAAAGTTTTATTAATTGACCTCAGTGTTGCCCATATTGTGTTTCCTTTGCACTGAAATGAACAGGGTGGAATAATGTAATTAAAATACTGCCAAAGCAGACAGGGAGATGAAAAACAGGGTGGTTGATTTTTGGAAGCCGAACTGCAGCAGGATGGAAACAGAGGCTCGAGCCACAGACACGGAAATTGAAGAAGAAGAAGAAGAGTTTGGATTTGATATCCCGCTTTATCACTACCCGAAGGAGTCTCAAAGCGGCTAACATTCTCCTTTCCCTTCCTCCCCCACAACAAACACTCTATGAGGTGAGTGGGGCTGAGAGACTTCAGAGAAGTGTGACTGGCCCAAGGTCACCCAGCAGCTGCATGTGGAGGAGCGGGGAAGCGAACCCGGTTCCCCAGATTACGAGACTACCGCTCTTAACCACTACACCACACTGGCTCTTCTTACTTCCCACACAATGCCTTCTTACTTCCCAGAAAGAACCTAATTCTAAGTCCGAAGAGAATGTTTAATTTAGAGGAAACCTGCTCCCCCTGCCTCCGTTTTGAGCCTTACGTCTTCCATATCCATGCCGCATTCCTCAAGGAAGGACCTTAGGAGCTTTCCTGCAGCCTGAGAGACGGCTCTGTCTTCCACTGTCAGGTTGTCAATCGCCTTCAGCACGACTTCGTTGATCTGGCTGGGCGTGAGGTGCTCCCCAAAAGCCTGGCACAAAGAAGAAAGAAGAGGGAGTTTTCTTCTGCTCCACACTCTGACCACGTTTCAGTAGTCCAAGCGTGCCTTCACAAACCAAGTGAAAGACATCTCCACTCTGCCTTGAGAGGGTTGAACTAAGTGACCCCCACGTCCCTTCCAACTCTACAATTCGGTGATTCTATTTATGTGTTTATTTAAGTAGCTGAAATATTTTACAACAAACAAAACTAAAAGTCAGGTGACGCCTTGCTATTTTCGATCCACATCTTAAATTGGTTATGACATTGGAACATGAGGAGGTTCAATCTAAAATCAGACTAGAAAATTTAAAAAAAAATTCTCGCAGGAACAGAGAGGGTGAATAATAGTGGCTATCTATTATATAACCAATGCCAAACAGACTGGGTGGGAACCTGCCGGCTGTGGGTTTAGTTCTTAATATACAACAAAAACACCCACCACAAGGTTGGCATAGTTCATTGGCTTGGCAGTGCCTTGTGAAAGATGCACCGAATGAGTCAACTTTTCCTATTCTTTTTCCACCCTGAGGAGCCCAAGGTGGCAATGCATGGTTCTCTCTCCTCCCGTTTTAGTCTCATGAGATAGGTTAGACTGAGAGACTGTGACTGACTCTTGAGTTTCAGGGCTGAGTGGGGATCTGAACCCTAGGTCTCCCAGCACCTGGTAGAATTTCAATAAGTAGAATTCTGCATGCAGTTTAGGCTACCGGGCACTTGTCTTGGAGCAATTTATTCTAATACAATGCATTTCTGAATGTTGTTTACACTAATAGCTCACGCATGTATTTTTTTACACACTGTTTGGCATTGCGAAATTCAAAGACATGTGAATTTCAAAGGCGGGTTGTGTTTCAGTTCTCCTATTGTTTCTGAAAGCCTCGATTTGATAGCTTTGGCTTCCAGTGTGAACTGCTCTGAATCTCTCCCTCATCCCTAGAAGGCGTGGGCTGCCTGAGGGCAGGCTGAAGTTGGTGGGGCAGGGCCCCATTGGCCCGAATGAGCAAATCTTTGCTAACTGGGAGTGGCTGCGGTCTTAGCAATAAAGAGTACAAAAAGCCACCCCTACCTTGGCCACTTTTGCGATGTTGTAGTGGAAGAGGGAGGGCCCAGGGATGAAGAAGTCTTCTCGGACCCATCTGACCATGTTGCCTTTCTTATTTTTATTCCTCCTCTTCTCCAGTTCCTTACCTAAGCAGGGTCGGGTTTTGGAATATGCATGCAAAAGAACCCAGCATTAGTGCTCCCTGCTCAAAACCTCCAGTTTTCCCACTGGGACCAACAAAAACAATTATCAATTTCACCTCAAAAATTATAATTCAGAACTGGTAAAATGGTTCAGACGGGGGCAACCAAACGGCCTGGGGGGCTTGTGGAGCTGGTTGCAGCATTGGGGGGGGGGGGTCCGTTTAGAAAAACGGCGAGGAAGAGGAGACACAATGTATGGCATGGAGAAAGTGGAGAGAGAAAGCTTTCTATCACCCCGTCAGAACATGAGAACAACTGGACCTCCAATGAAACTGAAGTTTCAGGATGGTCCTTCTTCTTGCAGTGCACAGCTAAACTCTGGAACTCCCTGCCACAGGAGGCACTGATGGCCACGGACCAAGATGTCTTTCAAAGAAGATGAGGCAAATTCATGGAAGAGAAGGCTACCCATGGCTATTAGCCAGGATGGCTATGCTCTGCCTCCATGGTCAGAGGCAGCAAAGTACAGGAGTAGAAAGAGCTTGAATTCTGCTTGCTGGATTCCCACAGGCATCTGGTCAACCCTTGTGGGAACAGGATGCTGGACTGGGCTGGGCCACTGGTCAGGTCCAGAAGGCTTTTCTGATGTTCTTCAGCAGTGAATCCCTCCCCCAAGACTGCCCTCTCGTCTCTGGCCAACAGGGTGTTGGCGTTAGGCCAGTGCTGGCACGAATTCTGGCCCTCCTGAACTCCCTGATCAACCCCAGCAGCAGCCAGCATGGGCAACACTCAGGGATGATGGGAGTTGGAGCAGCCTCTGGAGGGCTACAGATCTCCCACCCTGCAGCTTACAAGAAACAAGCCATTTCCCAGCATCGCCCTCACCCATTTTGGCTATCATGATGTAATGGAGATGGTACAAGGCCTCCGCTGACTGCAGGCCAATCTCCTTCACGTTGTCTGTGAGGTGAATGGACAAGAGCGCCACCAGCTGCCCAAGAAGGGGGAAATCCTGGGATACCTAGGAGGTGGAGAGAGAGAGATGCACAGTCAGCCCTCGTCCCACAGAGCCCAGCAAGAGAAAACCGTCTGGCATGCTTTCAGTCGGCAAAGGTGGCAGAGGGGCGCAGGGCAAGAGAGCTGTGCTTAGGTGGCCCACCCTAGGCTTGCCCCAGGGCTTTTTCCCCAGCCAGAACTCACTGGAACTCAGTTCTGGCTGTTGAATGGTTGAATGTTGAATGGCTGTGTCAGCATTTGGGTGTAGTATATAAGGAGCAGCACCTAGCTCTCCCATTACCCTGGGGGATGGGTTGGTGGTTGGGTCTGGTTTGTTGTTGATGTATTTAGTGTATAAGGAGTTTTTGTTTTGTTATTAAAACCTTGTTTAAGTACTTTTTGAGTCCCTTTTTAATGCATGGTCTCCCCAGCAAGCTCTCTGCAGTGCTACTATACTGCAAATAGGTAACATCTTTGGTTATGGGCCCAGCTGCTGAGTGGATGACTGCATATTTTTTGACTCTGAGAAAGGTTTGAAAACTCCTTCTCCTGTTAGTGTAGTTTCTGTGGGTCTGGAAGAGTTCCAGAATGGTTGACCGGGTTCCAGAAGCCGAGAAGGCTCTGGTGTTCCCACAGCTAACAGATGAGAACTATAGTTTATGGTCTTTTCGGGTGGAGGCGCTTTTGACCTCTAGAGAAGTATGCACCTATGTAACTGATGACCCTCCTGACCCTGTAACTAATGCTTGGTCGAAAGGAGATGCAAAAGCCAGGGCAATAATTAATTTGGCAGTCAGCGACCAGCAAGTAGTCTATATAAGAAATAAGAAAACTGCCAAAGAAATGTGGGACAGTCTTGCAGCAGTGCATATTAGAAAAGAGTCAGCGTCTGCATTGACGTTTTTCAAGCAGCTGTACCAGACCAAGTTGCAGCCTGGTGGTGATTTGGCAGCACACTTGAGACGTCTGGAGGCAATACGCTGCAAATTAATTCAAAGGGACATGGAGATACCTGATATTCAGTATGTTTTTATCATTCTTTGTTCCCTTAATGAGGACTTTGATGGTGTAGCTAGCCAGATATCTGCCGTTCCACCAGCACAATTAACTGTGGAAGGGGTAACGGCAAGATTAATGGGCGAGTTGGATAGAAGGGAGGCTTGTGCCATAAGCACTCATATTTCCAGAAACAACGAGGAACGCCATATGCAAACTTGTGGTGATACGACTGCATTTAAAGCTGCAAAGCGTTATTGGTTCTGCAATAAGCAGGGACATTTTGCAAAGGACTGCAGATCCAAAAGAAAGCAAAGTACTCCCAAGTCTGTTTCTGTTCATCAGTCACGGTCGTCAGCCCAGCAGCCGACATCGTACCATAAAGACAGAAGCGAGCCACGAGCTTTTCATGCTCGGACTACAGATCGTAAAAGAATTAAAGGTGCCAAGTGGAAGTCTTTTATTGTGGACTCAGGAGCATCTCAGCACATTTGCAACGATCGAAGCTTGTTTATTTCTTTTAAAGAGGAAATTGGTAATGTACATTTAGCCAATTCACAAGTCTTGCAGTCGCTTGGCAGGGATACTATTAAACTTGACTCTTTAAACATTACGATAGCGAACTGCATTTACTGCCCGTCAGTGGACAATTTATTGTCAGTAAGATGTTTTGCTTGTCAAGGCATAACTGTGCGTTTCTTAAAGTCAATGTGTGAGTTTTTCGATGGGAACAAACGTCTATTGTATGCCCAGGACTCTGATGGTTTATATAGACTGTATTTTCGCACCTACTCCCAATCGCCTATAAATTGCAGAGCAGCACAGTCAAGCCAGGGGTTGAGGAATGTAAGGCCACATTCCGGGTGTGCCCATGAAGCACACAGAATTCTGGGACATCTGAATTTTGCTGATGTAATTAAGACAAAGAATATTATTAATGGCCTAAACTTAAAACCATGTAAATTCTTTATGCAATGTCTATCCTGTTGCAAGAATAACATTAAGGTTGCACTCAAGGGTAGGTGCTCAGATAGGAAAGTAACTGAGCCATTTGAGCGTGTACATTGTGATTTAGTTGGGCCACTCCCACCATCATTAGGAGGTTCTAAGTACTGGCTTACCCTGATAGACCAGTATAGTAGATATTGTTGGACTTATGCAATAGCTGAGAAGTCCCAAGCATTTGAGAAGTACAGAGCTTTTTGCAACTGGGTAAAAACGCATTTTAACAAACCTATTAAGAACCTTTTTTCTGACAGGGGCGGGGAATTTGTTTCTGAGGATTTTGAGAAATTCCTGGAAGCGCAGGGGACTACTCATGAGTTATCTTGCCCCCCAAGTCCCTGGCAAAATGGGCTTGTTGAAGTTGTGCAGCGTGACCTGCAGGAAGGGGTTAAAACTTATCTGCACAATGCTAATCTGCCCAAAGTCTTTTGGGCTGAAGCGCTCAATGCCTTTTGTTACGTTAGAAATCGCAGTTATCATTCTGGTTTAGATGTCACCCCTGTTGGGATACTGCCAGGGAGACAAAGGCCATCATGCCCCCACGTTGACTCCGGCCGATCCATCAACCTCCCGTAGGAACGCAGTATCAGTCAATTAGCGACACAAGCCTCAGAAACAGCTTTCCACATTCAAGGACTTGTGCACTACTGTCAGGGGTTCAGGAGCAGAGGCAAGGGCAAGGGAGGAAACAGAGAGCGAGGGGGAGGAGGCAGAAGAAAAGATGAGTGATGACGACGACCCGAGATCTCCGAGTCTTTCCAGTGAATCAGAAGATTCACAGAAAGGAGCACCAGTGGCCAGGGCAAGGGGGAGCCTAGGGGACACCCCAGGAAGATAGAGCCAGAGGGGACTCAGAGGGGAGCAGTTGGAAATCGGGACCAACGTCACCGCCAGAGAGCAGGGAAGAGGAAGGGCACCAGGGATCAAGCGCTGGCAACTCACAACAGGGGGGAGGGCACGAGTCAGGAGTGGCCACACCTCCATCGGGGAGCGAAGAAACGGTCAGACGGAAGGTGGAAGGTTGGGCGCGCGCCAAGTTCAAATGCACAGGAAGGTGGCGCAGTAGGCAGCCCGGAAAGGGAGCCAGGTCCCAAAGCCCGCCGAAAGGAGGGAGAAGAGTCAGGGGAGTCAGCGTCAGAGGAATCCCGGAAGGAAGAGACCCCGGGGGGCAGAGGGACCCAGAGAAGAACAGTCAGGCGGAAAAGGTGGAGCAGGGCTAGGATATTAAGTTGGTGTACAAGGGGCGGAGACTCAGACGGAGCTTCGCCGGTCTAAGCATGAGACGTAGAGTTGCACGCAGCAGCTTGAGAATGGAAACTGTAACTCAATAAAGACTTTTGTTTAATGATCGCTGGCTAGCGTGATCCTCTGTGAGCTAGGATCTGGAAGCAGCTCTGACAACTACCTTTGCAGAGTTCGCACAATGAAAGATGCACTCAGGAGAGCATTATTTACAACTTTATTCAGCGTTGGTCAGAACAAAGAAAAAACATGACTGCTTGCCTGCGTGTTCAGGCACAGAGAGAGAAATAAAAGCTATGTACAAAACATAAACTTCCTGTGAGCCGGAAGTACGCAGACTGTGACTCAAACAACAGCCTGCTCCCTGTTTAAGGTGGAACGGAAATATCCTAACAACCCCCTATAATAATAATAATAATAATTTATTATTTGTACCCCGCCCATCTGGCTGGGTTTCCCCAGCCACTCTGGGCGGCTTCCATAGAAACAAAAAATACAGTAAAATATCACAGATTAAAGCTTCCCTGAACAGGGCTGCCTTAAGATGCCTTCTAAATGTCAGGTAGTTATTTATTGCTTTGACATCTGATGGGAGGGTGTTCCACAGGGTGGGTGCCACTACCGAGAAGGCCCTCTGCCTGGTTCCCTGTAGCTTTGCTTCTCGCAATGAGGGAACCACCAGAAGGCCCTCAGCGCTGGACCTCAGCGTCCGGGCAGAACGATGGGGGTGGAGACGCTCCTTCAGGTATATGAGAAGCTGTTTAAAAAACACCCTAATCTGAAATACCTACGCATTTGGGATTCAGATGTAATTATGCATTATCCCGCTAAGCAGAAATTGGGTGAGTGTAGTGTTCAGGGAAAATTAATGGGCTACCAGCAGGGGGCATACAGAATTTACATACCAGCAACTGGCAAATTTCATATTACCAGAAGCATGATACAAACTGTAAATTGGAATGGCGTTGCTGTTTTCCAAGATACTAACGGTATAAATGACACTGAGGAAGAAGAGGAAGCAGCAGCAGCAGCAGCAGCAGCAGCAGCAGCAGCAGCAGGAAATGGTGCTTCTGAATTAATGGAACAAGACAAAAAGCCTGTTGAATCTGATAATTTGTTTGATGATTTAAAGTCACAGGCACCCGAGGGGAGCTTAGATTCTCTTGAGTTTTCTGACTGTGAGCTTAGCCTACAGGCACCTCTTTGGTCTGACAATGATGATTTACAACCTGAAACTAGTAGTTCACTTAGTCCCATTAAGTCTGAGGAGTCTGACTCTCCTTCCGGACTGAGACGTTCAGATAGAAAGAGACAGAAGCCACAACGTTTTGCAGATGAACATTTAAATACTGTGTATGCCAATAAGGCGGTTTTTGAGCCAAAAAGCTACAATGATGTTCAGAATTTACCTAAGCACCAAGCTGTAAATTGGTATAAAGCTATCAACTCTGAGATAGCTTCTTTAAAAGAGCATAACACCTGGTCTCTTGTACCACAAACCCCAGATATGAGACTTATTGATTCAAAATGGGTTTAAGAAAATGCAAATGGGAAGGAAACGCCTATGGTGTGTGGTTTCACCTTTACAGGTGAAGATAAGCCATTTCCTAACAAAACTTTGTATCGTTCTGCTATAGGCAAGCTAAATTTCATTCAAAGAATCTCAAGACCAGATATAACTTATGCCTTTCACTTTCTGGCAAAATTTGTGGAAAAGCCCACTACGCAATGTTTCTCTGCTCTTAAGAGAGTGGTAGTGTACCTTAAACATACCAAACATTATAGGTTGCAGTTTACATCATGTATTGACAAAGGTTTTGAAATTTTCTGCGATGCATCTCATGCAGTGGAACAAAATAATTGCAGGGATGTGTCTGGTATGGTGTTTTGTTATAACGGTTGTCCATTTGAATGGAAGTCCCAGACACAAACCATTATTTGTCTCTCCACAACAGAGAGTGAATTATGTGCATGCGTTCAGGCCACTCGTGATGTGGAATGGTATCTGCAAGTATTTGCAGACCTACAGATGAAAGTAACACTACCAGTAAGAGTTTACCTTGATTCCCAGAGCGGACTAGCTATCCTGTGTTCAGAGACCAATGCACAGCGCACTAGAGTCTTAAGGTTACGTGTCAGGGGTTCAGGGACAGAGGCACAGGGTAGGCAGGAGATGGAGAGCGATGGGGATGAATCCCAGGACAGCGAGGAAGAGGATGACAATGACTCAAGAGATTCCATGAGTCTTTCCAGCGAATCAGAGGATTCCCAGAAGGGGGCGCCGGTGGTCAAGGCCCGGGGAGCCCCGGGGGGGGTGTCAGGAGCAGGGGGCCAGCGGGGGATCCCAAAGTGGCAGCTGGGCGTCAGGACCAGCCTCCCCGCCAGAGTGCAGCGAAGGGGGTGGAGGTTCCAGTGTATCAGGGGAAGCAGCTCCGGCAGCAGAGAAGGGAGGGAGGTCGGAGCAAGCCACCCTCCCGGAAGGGGAGGGAGTAGTGAAGGGAGTAGTGTAACTGTCAAAAGGAAGGTTAGAGGTTGGGCGCGCGCGCCAAGTTCAAATGTGGAGGCGCGCGGAAGTACAGGGAGCCCGGAGGAGGAGCCAGGTCCCAAAGCCCGCAGGAGGGGGGGAAGAGCAATCTGGGGATTCCGCGTCAGGGGAATCCAGGAGGGGCGAAACCCCAGCGGGCAGGAAGACCCTGCGGAAAAGGAAAGAGAGGAAGAGGTGGAGCAGCGCAAGCCTCTTAAACTGGTGCAGGGGAGGGACTGACTCAGAGGAGACTTCAACGGTCTAAGCGTAACAGACGTGGGGCTGCGCGCCTCGGATGTGAAGCAAACAACGAACTCCAATAAACACTTTTGTATATAAGAAGAACTTGGCGTTGGTCTTTTGTGAGCTGAGACCTGAGGCAGCCCTGACATTACGTTTACAGTTTGTAAAGAAACTAATTGCTGACGAAATGATTGTATTTCAATATGTTCCAGGTGACAATCAAATTGCAGACATTTTTACTAAAGCGCTTCCAAAGGTTACTCATGAAAGACATGTACAAAATATGCTTTATGATTTTGTTCCACAATGATGAACCACAGGGGAAATGTTGAATGGTTTCTTTAAATGTAAAGGTTCATCATTGTTCCACCCGATGTGTATGTCTTTAAGGGGCCAGAGCAAAATAACGAGACCCAGCTTTACAGCTGTGAAACACAGCAGGTGCTGAGTTGTATTGATTAAGCTGTGTCAGCATTTGGGTGTAGTATATAAGGAGCAGCACCTAGCTCTTCCGTTACCCTGGGGGATGGGTTGGTGGTTGGGCCTGGTTTGTTGTTGGTGTATTTAGTGTATAAGGAGTTTTTGTTTTTGTTATTAAAACCTTGTTTAGTTATTTTTGAGTCCCTTTTTAACGCATGGTCTCCCCAGCAAGCTCTCTGCAGTGCTACTATACTGCAAATAGCTAACACTGGCACCTCTCAGGTGGGCGCTATTGCCATTATAAGAGAATGAGGGAGGTGAGTTCATGGTGAGTCCTGGCACCTTTTTCTAGAAAAATAGCACTGGCTGGCACCTTCCCTTGGGATGGCCATGCCATACAGCTTTCACCTAGTTCACACCTGAACTTTCCAATGCAATACGATTTGAAATTGCAGCATTAAGCCTTGGTCACTCACATCAAAGTCCAAATGCTCAGAGACATATTTCATGAGTACGTTGGTGGTCTTGACTGCTCTTTGCCTCTCACTGATTTTTGTGGAGTCAATCCAGCCATTTGTGTGCTGTAAGAGAGAAATCATCGTCATCACATGGAAGGACAACCCTTAATCCAGGTTTGCAAATTCACAAAGCTTCATAGAGGGGACAAATTGCAAAAAGGGGTTGTTTTGTAAAGGAGAAAGTTTGCTGCAATTTGTTTATTATTATTATTATTATTATTATTATTATTATTATTAATACCCCACCTCTTTCCCAGACAGGGTCTCGAGGCAGCTTACAAACAAAACAAGAACAACTAAAGACACAGAAAAAAGAAGCCATTAAAAAAAAAGCATTAGTAGAATTAGATATTAATTGGCTCTTGGGTTGCTTTTGTTTTATTATGCATTTTCTGTTCTGATTTTGTATTTTTATGTTGTGAACCGCCCTGCAATCTGTCATTTGTGTGTTTGTGTGTGTGATAATTACAACAATACAACATACACCTCACCACAGCCATAGCAATGGAATGCAGGAAGCATCCTTAGACCAAGCCCAGCCATTGATCCACAGGTACTGAGGACTGGCAGTTGGCCCTTTGGGCTTTCAGACAGAGAGCCTTTTCCCAGCCCCACCTGGAGATGCTGAGGACTGAACCGGGGACCTTGGGCATGCAAGACAGATGCTCTGCCCCGAGCCACGGCCCTTCCCCATACGCCATCAGCAGAGGACATATCTTGTGTGCCTTGCACAAGCATTGCTAGCAGAACAGAGGCCCACTTGACCATCAGCACCCACAACCAGCGAGTTGGCCACAGATGCCCCCCGTGCAATCATTTCAAGAGGGTCTGTCCTCCGGCATGGGAGCTGCTGGTTCCCCTGCTCTGACACCTTGGGGGCTCCTTACCACTAATATCTCCTGCAGCGTCTCCAGAGAGGGGCCTCCGACAGCAAGCTGGTGAGCATGTTGAGCCAGATGTAGATGGTCTCTTGATAACAGTCCTGGAAGGAGAAAAGCAAAAGCACTTAGAAGCTGAAGACTCCCATGGAAATCCCATATGCTCTGGAGCCTTCTAGTCCAAATTCGTAACAAAGCTTATGCAGGGGTTCAAGCACGGCACACAAAGAGTCATAAACATCAAACGTTTCTTGATGTATGTAAGGTTACAGGTCATGCGATATAAAGATACAGGACTCCACACTGGGCTCAACTTCCTTGGGGTGTTCCAAGGCGGAGGGCCGCCTTGGTGGTGGGGCCCACCCCGTGGAACACCCTCCTATCAGATGTCAGAGAGATACATCATTATACTTCCGTCTGAAGACATCTGAAGGCAGCCCTGCATAGGGAAGTTTTAAATATTTGATGTCTGGCTGTGTTTTAATTTGTTGGAAGCCGCCCAGAGTGGCTAGACTAACCCAGTCAGATGGGCAGCATATAAACAAACAAGCAAACAAATAAAATTAAATGCAGCGTAGGAGGGAGGCATGAGAGTCACAAAATGCAGGCATGCAGGAATCATTTGTGGATGCATTCTAGCCAAAGGTGAAATGCAATAAATATGGAAACATGATTAAAATCAAAAATATACACCCAA